GCATTTCGCCTTAAAGCGAAAGTAAGTTTGATACGTGAAACTAATCGATTTAATCAATAAAAAGTTATTAACTATTTAGATAAAATAGTTAACTGTTTATTTTTCGAGTGTAAAGTTTTGGCTTAGACTAAAAACTAATCAATGCGATTTTCAATTGATATCTTCGAAACAAATTAATAATATCTGTATTTGTATTAATTATAGTGCACAAACACGCGCTACTATATCTGAAAGACGCGATCCATTATTCCCAATTTTAATAAATGTATATGATTCAAATGGGTTCAGATTTTTTTTGCGAAAAAGTAGACAAAAGTTTTTGCACTTATCAGCTGAATGTAAAGAAACGGCTCGGCCAATCATTGCGAAACGGCTTGGCAATCATTTTGCTGATTGATATAGAATTTGGTAGTAATTTTTGAATTCAGGAACGTTATTCGTCGTTCATGAGTTTATTCTTATATATGTGTATAGTATAGATATGATCGAAAGCATTTGTTTCGGCTCTGAAACGAAATTCTTCGGTTACTGAGCAAATACAGAAATATTTGTTGGTGAGCGCGCGCGCGCCTGTGTGCGTTCGTGGAGTACAGTCAGGCGGACGAGTCTCTTAAAGTATCGGGTTACACTCGTACAGTCAGCTGCAGAGGTTCGCGCTTTGTGCGGTTACGAATATTACGATGCAGTCATCGACGACGACGACGATTACGAAAGACTAGATAATATTATATATTGTATTGTATTCATGTATAAAACAAATAACAAATAACAAATAACAAATAACAAATAACCAACGTCCAACAGGATACACGACCAAGGAGAAGACCAAGCTATTATTTAATAATAACTTCTTTTGTTAATAAAAATCAATTGATGAGCCATTTTTTTACTTATTAACCAGTTCTTCGTCACGATGCAGTGCAACAATTTTGTGTATTCGCGAGTATATTTGTCATGCGTATGAAACAGCGAACATTTGCTATTTAAATTGCTAATTCTAAACTTTAATGGTTTTTTATAATTAAACTGGTTTTCGTAACCCTACAATTATTTAAATTTTCCTGAAGCGCTGTCACAGAATTTAAATTCTCATGTACATTTACATGTACATATAATATTTAATTGATTTTGTTACATTTTTAGTTTAATATGTAATGTAATAATATAGTTTTTCACATTCGTATAATAAACCCGTATTTTTGATTCGATGTCTTATCGGCGCAACTTACTCTGTGATCGACGGATATACTCGTCATGAGTTCGATTCCGACCTCGAGTGTTCGACGAGAGTGCCAGAGTTTTATTTAGATGAGTTATTGCTAAGTTTTCTTTGAAATTTTGTATTTAATTCATTTTAAAAAGCTTAATTTAAGAAATGTGGCTAACTGTTCGGGCAAGCCAAGGGCCAAAAATGAGCCATTGTGATATGTCTTATATAAAAACCAAACTTGAAGTATAATTACTCTACTACTCTAGCATAGCCATTAAAATGATTCTACTATATTTGTATTTACATAACTCTAAATATGTATCTGTGGAGATAAATACCAATTGCACGCCCGTTGTCCATAAGTAACAAATCCTATTCATTACAATGAGTTTATTATTATGGGAAAGTGCATGAGCGCATTTTGCTTACAAAGGGATGGAACACAAAGGGCTTTCACGTGCTTTTTCCGCACCGCACCGCACCGCACCGCACCGCACCGCATTCGCCTTCATTAACTAGACGTGCACGCTTGGTCGGCGGCCACGTGTAGGTGCCTCGTACTCGTATGTCGTATGGGATATCAATTTAAAATTATTAGGTAAGGTAGGTAAGGTAGGTAAGGCACGGTGCCGTTGCCGCAGCACTCGGCCCATTAACGAGTTAGCAAACTTACCCTCAACTCAATGCCTCAATTATACCGCTCTATGGATAATAAATGAAAGTAATGTGGATATTACATTCATTAATATTTTAGAAAAAATACTATCAGCAACTTGAACTTGATAGATCTATTCTAAAAGCAAATATAACCTTTACGATGAATATAAATCGAACAGTTTCTGAATATGAATTGATCCGCTGCCTTAAAATTATTATAAAAATGTGCACTTACAGAGATACATTTATTTTGTCAAAATTCTCAGGAGGTTTTCAGAAAATACGAAATTATTCAAGAAATATTTATAATTTTTAGTCTATTCCATTAACCTGCTCATTAGGTTAGAACATAATAATAATATATACAAAAATTAATTTTATAGTTCGCAATTAATTTTAAAGCTCAATCATTTTACCATATTTTTTTTGCAAACTTCTGGGAAATCATGAAATATGTTTGTGTTGATACAGGTGCCGTTAGTACCCAAAAGCCAGGCAAAATATTCTGTTGTTTTAAAACCAGATTTTCGTGAGACATCTGACAAAACAGACTTTCTTTGTAATTGATTAATATAAGTTCTTTTTCATCGGCGTGTTCAACTTGCTGATTTATATTTTTAGTTAAATAAATTAGTTAAATCATTTGAAATATAAATTTGATGTAAAAAAGAAAATCGGAATAATAATAAGACTTCAAACAACTGTATGCAAGTTTATAAAAAAGACTGCATATCATACTGCAACAAGGCTAATTTGTGCAAGTACTTAACCATTATACCACGACGGACTCATAAATCAATAATATGAAATGTACTACTAAAAAACACGGTATCTTTACAGATTTAGCCTGTAATATTTGAGCATAATCTGGGGGTCTTGTTTTTATTTTAATTTCGCCAACCGTAATACAGCAATATGGCTGTGTCACAAATTCATGATACATTTGTCTACTCTCAGTTTCTGAAGTACTAACCTACGTATATGGAACGCACCACTGAATATGATGTATCTTTTACTTACTAAATAATTTTGTTAAAGTAATAGGATCGGCGATCGCAAATTTTATCTTTGCTCCTAAAAGCCGAAACAATCTTAAAACCGGCTACAGGAACAATCTAAATCCAATTGTCCGCATCGCTACATAAGTAAGTACGGGTCCTTATTTAAAACATTCATTCCGAATGGATTATTGTTCGATAACGATTGCACATTTGGTGGTTACCATGATGCACATTTGAGAAGGTAAAAAGGCCGTTGGAAACATTTTAAAACTAGTGGGTCGCATGGCATCGTGCCTTAAGGCAAATTGCTGGAACTTACCGTACTAAAAAATATTTTTTTTAAAAAGATTAACATATTTGAAAAAAAAATGACTCTGAAAAAATTAGATTTTTGAGAAACTATAAATTTTTGACAAAAACTTACTTTTTTTTGAAAAAAAATTGAAGAAAAATTTATTTTGAAATATTTTGGAAATTTTGAACTTTTTTTCAAAGCAATCGTACTGCTTTAACTGCATAGAGACGAAATATCGAAGCGCGTAAGCGCCGTGCGCTGTCTAACGGATAAACACTGGTACGGAACCCATAAGAATGTAAACAAAATTTATACTTATTGTTAAAATCTCTATAAAATATCTGATAATTTGATGTGCATATGTCTAATGATCATTTTTGAGCGCCAAATGGCATTTTTTTTACATTTTTTACTAGATCTCCGAAACCGCTAGACCTACCTTCATGATAATCAGTTCAGCTCAGTTCTTCATCTTGTTAATACAAGTAAAATGTTGTGTTCTCTTAAAAACTAAGTTACCGTTTTTGGCACTTTTTGCCCCATATCTTCGGAACAACTAGGCCTGCCTTCGCCAAAAACTAATCAGCACGTCTCCTTATCAATACGAATCGAATGTTTTTTGAATTATTCAAACCGCTTCATCCGTGTTCCCGAAATCCTGGACGAAAATTTGTATCCGAACACACACACGCACACACACATACATCCATTTTTTTCTAAGGTATGCCAAAATATTCAGAAACCTCTAAAACGTAAAGATATGTAAAAAAAATCATTTTCGATTTTTTAGCGATTACTTTAACTTGCCATACGGAAAGTTAACTAGGTAAAAGTGGCATAGTATATTGAGGCAAGTTGCATGATATTAATAAAAAATTATAATTAGCAATTCTTAAAAGTGACGATTAAATTTTCTTATTTCGAAAATAAAGTTATCGCTTTGCACTAAGAACTTAATAATAATTCGAATGTCAATTGATATTCTTCAAACAAATCTAAAATATTATTTTATTCATAAGCAAGCCGTAATCAATAATAATGAATATTATTTCAGACTCTTGCATTGAATTATGATTGAGTTTAATAAAAAAAATTAACACTATTCACTTACAATTGGATGTATATAAGAAGTGAATAAGAAATAAGTGTAAAGGCCCGGTGATTGTTACCAAAATGCAATCAGCACGATTCTCAAGTGACAACTTTCAAATAGTTTTCGAATCTTCAAAATCGGTCCACAATTTTGTGCGAAAAATTTTGTATCAATATATCAATATCAAAATCCAATCAACGCGACTCCTCATCGAATTATATCGATAAGCGTTTAAAATTATGAAATTGGAGCAGCCGTTTTTGAGTAAACAAAAGGTAAAATTTCGGCTCAAATACACATACATACACACATGCTTTATCAAATTTTGGTATTGTTCATTTACAATTTATTGAGTCATATAATAATTTATTGTACATTTAGTTATTTCTTTCAACAATTCGGAACTACTTAAAGTGACGAAAAAACTTAAGGTAAGCAAATTGAATTTTCTGATGTAAATATGAACTTCTGCTTTGGACTTTTTTTTATAGATACTGAAGATTTTATTATTATTTTTGAATATGTGAACTATCCATTCGTGGCGTGTTGTAAAGGTGCAGATTATCATCATCAGGTCATTTATGATATATCTAGAACTTATGTTGCCAGTACATAGCAATCATATTTTGCTAGATTTAGCAATTTTCTATTAATATAAAAATTTATGCGAGCAGGAATAATTATTCTTATTACAAATACTTTTTCAATATTTAAAACTGTATTCATGATTGATATTTTACATACCTGTCTTTGTGTTCAGCAGCGCGGTCTCTTTGACGACGATTTTTAAACCAATTCGAAACCTAAAAATAACGATTTGTTACTAATTTGTATTTTTAATTATAAAATAAGATTTAGATACAACAAAAATGTCTTAAATTAATATTTTAAAAGCACAAAAAGTGCATTTGCTAGATGTTAGGGCACCGCACTCATCTAGGATCTTTCTTCATGATATAACCCCATTGATGATTATATTTAAATTAATTTTTGTAAATTTATTAACACTAATATTAAATGTATATCATTTATATAGATGCAATAGCAATCCTCTTCATATAACAAAAACATTCGCTTAATTATTATGACATATGCAAAATCATATAATAAAAAATGGGTTACTCAGTGATAAGCGGTGACTAGAATATTCGTAAAATTAAAGGGCGTTATAGAAGCGTAACTTATAATAGCGACCTATACAATATACAATTCAGAAACACTAAAAAAGAACGGAATACATTATTAATTATTAGTATAAATTATTTCTACCAATATCAAGTTTAAATCCAAAACACTTAAATATACGTCCCCATTTAAATGTATCCGAGGGAGTGATAACTTTGTCAGCAACAAGTACCTTTCACGTTTTCGGCGAGAGACACGCCCTAAAGGGAAAACCCGAACAGTTTTCACGGGAGGCGTTGAAATCCCTGTTGGTAAGGGTAATATAAACATCCCACTGTAATGTCTATATTTATAAAACATTTAATAATAGTCATTAGGCGTAACCCCAAATCGAGAATATTATTAAACAAAGCAATATGCCAGCACTAGGTATTCAGTGTATTATATAAAATATATAATTACTGAGAAATATGGACGAATATATTAATTATATTTTACTTTTTCAATATTCTCAATACTTCTTTGAGATGAGTTTATTTAATAAAACTAATTGCATTTATCGATTTAGGTGGAATGCGCGCATTTGCAACTTTAATGTAGTACTTGTTCACGAAATATTTTTGATTTTTTCATTTCCAATTACAATTTTCGCCTTAGGAAGTATGTAATATTTCAAATACATAACATGAATTTGTATTTTGTATATATTGATCCGAGTTTCGTTCCGTGGCTATGCCTAAACATGTAACAATCTAATTTTAGGAGACTATTTTAAGGTCCACAAATACTTAGAAACGGAAACGTTATTTCCAATGATCTTAAACAAGGAAAAATGAAGAGGTTGTAGATATTTTATAATATTAACTTCTCGAAGGAAACATTTCTAACTTCTAACTTTTTAACTTTGTGGTTTTTGCCAAAACTGGGTTTTAATTTGTATTTTCTTTGGGTCTCATAGTTATTCTGTAGAGTTTGACATATGTAGTGGGACAAATAAAAACACGTGTATGACCTCGTGCTTCTTTCCTTGAAATCGCCTTACTGGCAAATTTAAAGTAGATTTTATAGAACTCGTCTTCGCGAATTAATTTTTTTTTAACTTTGGCAATAGTTAATTTTTTAGTATATTTTCTCAAAAACAAACATAAACCCTATTTTAATTTAATAACTTTCAATTTGAAATTATTTAAAAAATATAAAATTAAAAATCATTAGTTCCGGGTAAAAATTTGGCAAGTCTTTCCATCTCTTTCTTTGTTTTAATTTAATTTCGCTTGAAATTTTAATTTCATCTAAACTTTTAATTTCTCTTGAAATATATATATATATATATATATATATATATATATATATATATATATATAATGAAAGTTTTGTCGACGTTGATACATATTTGTAAATTTTTTTAGCAGCCCAACAGTCGAATTAAAAAAGATTAAATAACAAAATTATTTATTCCATTATACGTTTCGACACTTGATGTGTGTCATCATTCAGTAATCTAAAAAACATTTAACATAAATGCACAAGTGATGATAATATAAATATATAAAAAAGGAGGAAATTATACATACCAAACCAGGAAAAACAAAAAACATTAATTATGATGTGAAAATTGATATCAACACTAATTTGTGTAAAATAATATATATATATATATATATATATATATATGTAGCTGGAAACTTTGGTTGAAAATGTATCAATATGTAAAAATAAAGTTAAGAAATTTTTGTGACAGTTTATAAATATTCTAGAACAATTCAGTAGATCTCAATGTAATTTATGTAATAAATTCGTATAACGTAATCAGTGAAAAAAGTAATATATGTGATAAAACATTTTGATAGATTAAAAACAATACTAATCAATCCAAATCCTTAATTGATATGCACGTATCGAATAGTTTTTGACTAATTATCGTCTATCTAAGCCAGATGCGATGACGAAAGCCTTTTACATTAACTGTTAATAGGCTAGTCTGATATTAAAACTAACCATCAAGAGTGCTATGTAATTAATGCAAAGATTTTAAAATGGATTTTAAAAAAATCCCCATTCCCCATTGTTGGAATTGGCACGATAGTTCTGTATTCCCCGAATTTAACAAAATATTCAAGATATTGAGAAAATAATAAAACGTCCAATTGCTAACGTTAAGTTAATGGCATTAATCAAGTGAAAATGTGAAAATATTTAATATCAATAAAAATTTCGAATGACGATATAATAAGATGTACCTGCGTCGTCGTCAGTCCAGTAGCTTCGGCCAATTGTCGTTTCTCTCGAGGCGCTGGGTATGGGTTGTGGGCATACCAATCACGCAGTACGGACCGTGACTTTTCCTACAAATGTGATAATGTAAGAATATAATAATAATACACATAATAGTATTCAGAGATTAAATACAACAAGGTTTAAGTAGATAAAAGATCATTATAAGCAATAACAAGACCGAGATCGGCATAAAAAATTTGTCCATTTTTACGTCAAATTGTAGACTAATATCTCCTTTTGACTTCGCGATGAACAACCTATAATCATTTAGGGGGCGTCCATTAATCACGTGAGCGAGTTTTTAAGGATTTTTGGACCCCCCTCCCCCTTGGTGATACATAGTGATATTCAAAATTACCCCTCCTCCCCCACAAACATCACATGTATTTTTAGTTACGAGTAAAAACACGTGAGAATTTTCTGGAGTCTTACTAGAATTAAAGTTAATTCAAATAAGACTCCAATAATAATTAATTAAGAGTAAATTGGAATTTTTAATAATAATATTGTCGGCAATATATCATTGTCGAATTAGTGGTGCATGACAATGTGTCTTTAGCCAAAATGCTGAAACTTCCCGTGATTTTTTTTTTAACTTAGAAAAATTAGATTTTGGGAGTGTCCATTAATCTCATGAGCGAGTTTTCAAGGATTTTTGGACCACCCCCCCCTCCACCCCCTTGGTGATACATGGTGATATTCAAAATTAACTCCCCTCCCCCACAAACATCACATGAACTTTTAGTTACGAGTAAAAATAGTAAAATATTTGAGTATTTTGAGTGTAAGTATTTTTTTGAGATTGTTTGATTAAAAAAAAATCAGTTAAAAAATAAATACATGTGATATCTTACTATACCCCTCCCTCAAGACCGTGATATTTCGTGATTTTTTGTCAAACCCCCCTTCCTTCTAAAAACCTCACGTGATTAATGGACGCCCCCTTATATATGATATTTTTTATTTGGATAAAATCTATTGTCTATTGGATGCATAGTCAAAATCTATATTCAAAATTTTTACATGATATTATACCCCTAAATTCCCTTCATTCACACACATATATAAATATATATATTAACAAAGTCTAGTAATCGGGCATAACATCAATAAAAAATATATATTTCTTTCAAAAGTTTATTTTAAATCCATACGTTTCGGCTATAATCCTAGCCTTCATTCAATGGAAATTAAAAATAAAATTAAAAATTGAAACAATTGAATTGGAGTGAAAAGAAAAAATAAATAATAAATATATATATATATATATATATATAAATATTCTATTATAGTTTACTATAGTTTCTATACCTATCCACATATTTTATAATTAATAATTATATCAATTTTTATACTGTTTTTAGATCCACTGATGATGACATTAAATTGAATGTCGAAACGTTTGGAATTAAAGATTATTTTATAAATCTTTGCCTTTTCTTTGTTTGATGTATCGCTCTTAAGAACTCACTCATATATATATATATAAATATATATATATATATATATATATAAATTTAGTTAGAAAAATCATATACATTGTTAAAATCCCTACAAATAATCAGATAATAATACAATATACACATGTCAAATAATGATGACTACACAATATCAATTATTTGCATTTTGTTCTTTTCTTTTGCATATGACATTAATTTATACATGCAAAATTACATTTTTGATTATTGTAATTTACCCTACAAAATTAAATGAAATAAATAATAATATCTAAAAACAACATTTTGTTCAACTTAAATCAGAATAATTCTGATTTTGTTACTAACTATAATATTATTTTTCATTTCACACAAGTGACATGTAAATTACGAATACTCGCGGATGCGATTATTTTCGAATAATTTCACCGTAAATTTCTAATTTAAGAGAGCAATAATATGTTATATTGATTCAGAAAACAGATTTTTTAACAATTTACCTTAAAACAGTAAGATGTTTCTTCTCCATCCCAAATTGTTCTAGGCAATGGAAATTTCCGCCGAACGCGATATTTACCTACAGCGCCCAATGGACGGCCTCGTAATTTTTCTGCTTCAACGTAATGGGCTGAAATTTTAATAATTTAATATAATTTATTCTTTCCATCTATATACACACATATATATACCATATATATATATATATATATATATATATATCGTATATATTAGGGTGGTCCTGAACAAGGGCGCAAGAATTTACTTAATATCATATGTTAATAACAAATATAAGAAACTTTTAATTGGCGTGCGCTTCATCTAAATGTTTATATAAAGAGCTAATACTATTAGATATTCATTTTTTATTAATTTGGAAGCATTTGCGCCCTTGGTAGCAAAGAAATCGAAAAATATCCTTGTTAAGGACCACCCTAATATATAATAGCTTGGTTTATCACAGTGTAATAGTGTAGTGTATTTTTGTATAATTAATTTCTGTAAGTATTTATATATAAGTTCTTTAACTTTATATTATTTTCCTTCTACATCATATAAAATCTTTTAGTTTTTCCACTGAATGACGGTCTCGATGAAGACCGAAACGTATGGATAAATAAAGTATTTAAAAACTACTTTAGTCATTTTTTTTACTTGGTGTTACTGCCCGATTCTAAACAATTCATCAAAATATATATATATATATATATATATATATATATTTTGTATGATTCTGAATTTGATGTTGACATATGTATTAACAAAGTCTAATAATCGGGCATAACATCAATACATAACATCTTCAACCAGTCTACGAATAACACACTATCTATTTGTGATTTTTTCAAATCATACATAGTGTAGTGCATTACCATATCCTAATACCATGGATTATTAAAATTTTCCAATTTAACAATAAGATCAACTAATTGTAAGTACTAATTACTATTTTATTTTTTTCTTTTCACTCCAATTCAATTATTTTAGTTTTTAATTTTATTTTTAGTTTCCACTGAATGAAGGCTAGGATTATAGCCGAAACGTATGGATTTAAAATAAATTTTTAAAAAATTCATGTTTTTTATTGATGTTATGCCCGATTATTAGACTTTGTTATATATATATATATATATATATATATATATATATATATATTTAGTCATTTTTTGCAAAATGTTTGAATTGAAACTTGGTTGTAAAGACATACACACTGATTAAAGTTGTTTTATTTCTAAATTGATTAAGTCTAATATTTACAATATGGAAAAGTTGCCTTATTGTTAGTTAAACAAATGACTAAAGGAAATAATGATACCTTTAAGCCAGAGTGCCTGCAGCTTGGAATGATTGTGAGGTGAAAATGTGTTAGCCTCCAAGAGGTTGTAAAGTTCTTTAAATTGTCCGCGATGAAATGCAACTACAGCTTTTGCCTTAAGTACACTTTCGTGCGAGTGGAGCTTCTCGCAAGCCGGCAAAGACCACAGAAAACGTCCCAGACGCTCGACATTTCCAGCTTGCTGTAATACCTACAAACATGGAAAAAATCAATTACTTAATAGTATAGACCAACGACAATAAAATAAGTGAATCACAAATTAACTGAACAGAAATAGGACAAATTTAATAAGCTAAAAGATAATTAGTATATATTCATTAGATGAGATCTAATATATTATACTCAAGAAAATGCTCAATTAGCTAAAACTACTTTGAAATATGTGTCAAATTTGCATCGATAAACGTAAACCAACATACATAAAATTTTTCTAAAGTTTCATATCTCGACTCGATATTTCAACTTAGAGTTTTTGGTAATAGATTAGATTTAACATAGTTTCAGCAATTTGACTTTTCAACTTGCTTGTCAAAAAATTTAAAAGTTTGCATATTTTAACTAATTTTTCGAAACGTACAAAATTTTAATATCTATTTACACTAGATATATTTACTAACTGAACATATAATGTTAACCCTCCGTTGTTCGGATATTTATTTCCCTTCGAACGATCGGAGTGGTCTGGCTGGACCACACATTTTTTCGTCCTGATTTTTTCATTGATCGACAGCTAATGAAATTTTAGGAAAAGTCCAGAAATTTCAAGTCGATAGGATTACTAGGAGTATTTTTTTTTAAATTAAATGGGCTGGCCAGAAAAAAATCTGGCCAGCCCACTCCGACCGACGGAGGGTTAATGCTAACTAATTAAAAATTATTATTTAAAATAAAAAATAAGAATTATTGCAATACGCTACAGTAAAAGTGTCCATGATTTCATAATATTCCCAAATCCTTTTAAATTTAGTATTTATTACCGCAGCTGCGATATTAATGCCATCTTATATGTAAATTTCAATCTTTTTTATACATTGATATTTATTTATAGACCAGAAATTTGCCAAGGCATAATGCCATACACCACTTGTTTTTTGTCTGATTATAAATTAATATAATCGATAATGACGCTGTGTTTAAAATGACCCAGAACTTGTTGCCGAAAATTTTCAATTTTGAAAACAAAGGTATGTAGATAGATTTGGGTTTGCAGTGTAATTCACTTGCTTTACTCTCTTCATACTTCACTTGCTTTTTAAATCTGATATTGAAGCATAATTCGTTTCAGATATAAAATAAATATTTCTGATTATTTTGATTGTTTACTCTGAGTTTAATAATTTGTGAAAGATGGGAAAAAATGGAATAAGAAATATCACTACTATAAACAAAGCAATCTCAAATAAATCTAAAGTAAACAAATCATTTTTGTAATGTCATTTATTCGATCTAAATAAAAATAATAAATAGAGAAAACCATGAGAAAACTTTGAAATTTTTCGGCAACATCTTCTGGTTCAATTTAAAACCAGTGTCATTGTTGATTTATAATCAGATTTAAAGGTACGGCATTATATGGTAGTACAGCCATAGTTATGGTTGAATTAAGCATTATATAGTTTAAAAAAGGTTATATATATTTTAATATAATAGATAGTAATCTATATAATTTGTGAATAAATATTATTGATGTCAGATTTGAAAGGCAAGAGAGTAAACGCAAATTAAGTTACGCAAGCATCACGCAGAGAAAAAAATGTAATAAATAAAAATAATGAGAAAAACTTATAAAAATAAGTTAGAAAACTATATAATTCCAATGACTTAGCGAATAAATATTAGTAAAGTGAATTGTTACATGACTTAAAATGATAAGAAGGTAAACGTAAGTGAACAACTTTGCAACGCTCCTAGACAATATTAGCCTAGACAATATTAGAATATGATATATGTATTCATAATATAAACATGAATCAATGCTTGTAATTTAATAAAATATGTGTCACTATAGCTCTAGTTCAGTCAAAATGAGTTTTATACAAGGATCAAAAGCACAAAAACATATGGATCTTGAACAAATTGATTCATCCTTTTTCATCTATTGCATCCTTAAATAGTATTTTTCATATTTTGAAATTATATATGTTATTTGGCATACCCCGCCCCCACCGTCCCGGATTAGCTTCACTAAAAATGGCCGTCGCGGTTTTGATCTAAAAAAATATGGTTACCTTAATTATAAATAATACATTTACGTTTTATTTTTTTCCTAGTGTAAAAAATAAATATAAATGTGCAAGTATTTATGTATGTGAGGTTCCACAATGTTACTTGGTTCAAAACAGATTAAAAAGAATTAAAATGATTTATCTAACATTGTAAGATTTGTTTACAACAAAGAAAATTTAGTTACACATAATATAAATGAATTGACTCGACAACGACAAATGCTAACAATAAGAAAAAAATGCAGCCGTTGACATAATGCGCCGACACGCATTAATAAATCTGGAGAAAAATTGTTCTCGAGTAACAACAAAATTTCTAGTACAGTCGTTGTTTCATAAATAAATTATAGATAGAAACCAATAGAAACAAAAAATAAGAAAAATTATACATTATTTTTATTGAATTGAAAGTATGATATAAAATAATAAATTACTTCCACACTTGAATGAAAGTTTTATTTTCACTATTATTTAATCTGTTGAAAATGGTTTGAAAAGCTTGGGTGGGGGTGTTGTATATTTTTTTGAAGTTAAAATGATTTCTTGGTCTTAATGACCTGTAGTCAGTAGAAAAATAACAATTTTCACATTTTGATGATAGATCATTAGAATGTGTGTCCTACAGTGTTTACTTGAAGTACATTATAGAAGGGCTGTCGAAATTTCAATTCATCATTATCAGAATAACGCGTTTTATAAAATTCATTTTCGATTATATGTTGTTTGCTCTATCTAAACGTGATGTCGATTAGTGAATCGTCGATTTGTTTTCAAATACTCATCATATCTGTATATTTAATCGATATATTTTCGCATAGCACCTTGTGTTAATAATAATCAAAATTCTCTGTTTTATAATTGAGATAACTACTTTCGTTAATTAAACAACATACATGATATTCGATAAAGATTTGGATTATTTATATAGGAAGGAATTTTAAAAAACAGATTTGATTAAATTTAAGGTTTTGTTTTGGATAGCAATTAGAACTAGGTATTCTATAAGTTGTTATGAACAATACTAGAGGGCAGCCCATATTAACTTTATAGTTGATTTACATCTGAACCCTATTAGAAAGTCGTCCTTTATAATTGCGATATTTTCTATATTTTCAAGTAAAACTGTCAATACTGCTTGATATTAGCCAATTTTTTAGATTCATCTTCGAAACTCGAGCACAATGACATATCTAAGAATTTATTAATCAAATCTATTCGAATAATCGGCTCTTTAAAATTAAAAGTAACCATAAAAATAAAACATTTATAGAACCAGCATGAACAAAAAACAAACAGTGGACATCTCTGACATTTTCCATTTTAATCTAAAATGTTTCTCGAACATCTTAATGTCAAGCGGTAGTGAAAGAGGACAACCGATGAGTTGCCGTCTATAAAGTCAAATTGGATTATCAAGTCCTGATTGTTCTAAAGTATAGATATTTAGATTTCGGTCCCGCACAAACAGTTTCCCATATTATAAATATTCCGACATTTATTATTCGTTTGTTGATATACCAATATGATCCGATATAAATGTTATAGTATTCTAATACATCCGTTTTCCTGTGTACAAAAATTCTCCATGTGGTATGTACAATATTGATGAAGATTTGTTCGTTTCTTCCTGTTATGTTAGCGTTTTCGCGTCGCGTTATTTCTGCATTGTAATCCATAACTATTATATGAGATTTCTATTCTCATCCAAATTTTCGCATGAAAATTCATGTATTCAATTCCGATACAATTTTTCATTATATATATTACAGCTTTTTATCGTTTTCAGCCATTTTGTCTTAAGGCAAGCTGAATAAACTTACTAATAAGTGTAAAATACTTAAACGACCATTTTAATGAAACTTTGCATATTAATAGAACACATGATTTTGAAAAAACACACGAATATATTATTAGAGTACTATAAGAGCTAATTATAAAAATTCAGTAAAATTAGAAATAATGGACCGCGTTTTTCGTTAAATAGTTTATAACTACAGTGATATATGTAGCGGGGGCTAGTTGAACATAGGGGCAAGTTGGGCAATCAAAATATCTCGAAAACTATTCACCATCCGTTTAGGCATTATATGGAGGAAAGATAGAGGTTTGGGATAAATAGACATCCCGCAATCGCTAGTAGCCGCTGGACAAATGAGTGAGGCTCACGGGCGTTTTGTTTATTTTGAGACCAAAAAGTAAAAAAGTCATTCATCACGAGTTTTTCGTCTGGTTTAGTCAAATGTTATTTATTTTTAACCAGGTAAATCTTATTCTTCCATATAATTATAGCACTTTTAATATGCACAAAGATTATGGGTATAATTCTCATGTTTTTTTTAAAAACTCACTTTTATTTTGAAATCCCGAGTTGGTGTTAGTTGAGCATAGTTACTAAACTTGTTCTGTCACTAAGACAATTACCATTAACTTCCAGAAATTGATTATTATTTTTAAGATTTAAGCTAAGTTTATGAGTAATGATATAAAGAAATAATGATTTTAAACCAAAATACTGAATATAATGGTAAAATAATTTCTAAGTTAATTAATCGTTAATTATTCAAAGCAAATTACTATAAGTTTTGTTTTCTCTGTCAATAAAGACTATAAATATAGAACTGGTTATTAAAAACTTATTTTATTTCATCACTAATCGACATTGAACCTATAATTTTATTATACTTTTTTAGTGCTCAACTTGCCCCACCTATGGGGTACATTGAGCATACTTGACTTTTTGCATTTAAACAGCTGTAGCTTTTAAATTTTACTTATTACCAAAAACTAGTATTAACACTTTTGTTAAGCGATAAACAACAAATCCATTAAGCCGTATAGCAATTTATTGAGACTTTTCATTGAGGAGCTACATCCGTTTAAGTAAAAATTTGCTCAACTAGCCCCGCCCTACCCTACTTATACACATGTACAGCTTGTATATTTTACCTTTCAACAGAATTTTAAAAGTGCCATATATATTAATATATATATATATATATATATATATATATATATATATCTTATATATAAAATTCTTCAGTACGGATGTACGAATTGATACTACTCTTAAACGGTCATTCGGATTGTGATTATTATTTTTAGAGTTAGAGAAATTTTTAAGATGTGATAAAAAATAAAACTATAGTAATATCGTAAAAGTAAATAAAAAAATACAAAAAACAGCATTTCATTGTTTGACATTGAAAACATTTTGACACATGAGAACTGTAATCCGCCAGAAATGTCAATTCACTTAAAATTTTAATTTAGTTTAAGCGAATTTTGTTTCATGTGTCAATTGGATATGAAATATTTAGCAAGTTGATCTTAGGTTAAACAGTGCGCATATGAATTAGATTTTACGGATTAATTCACCTAAAATTTGAACTTAAGTAATAATGTTTATTAAATTATTATTAAGAAAAAAGTAATTTAAAAATTGTAATTGTCAAAAAGTAACTAATATATGATACGCGATTATAAAAATTATGGACTAAATTATTGAAGCAATTATATTGGGTAGAAATATCAAAGGTGATATTGTTCTTTTATAGCAGATACTATATTTATTCTTTCAAGATTTCTTATACGAATCAAAAAACTGCAATTCGCATAGCCTATATACTAAGGCTATAAATGGAAGGACCTTAAATAGATGTTTAAATAGAAGGTAAAAATTGTAACTTGAATTGTAAACGTGGGTACGGGACGTCTGTCAGGTTATTTGGTATATATATATATATATATATATATATACATGCATACTTAACGATATTTACACGAGCTCATAACACTTGTATTAAAGCAAAGTGCCACTTACACCCAGTCATCTTACGTTTAAATCCGTAATTACAAAGCACTAAATTTTTCACTTATATAATATTTTCTCACAGAAGCCACAGTGTTTTTTTTTGCAAGTTCCCTATTTCCAGTTTGTTTAATATTTATTACAAATTATTTGGTTTCTGTAAATATGCACATATCATATATTTTGATATCTCCCATGTGAATATAAACATATATATATATATATATATATATATATATATATATATATATATATATACTGATTATGATATTACAATAACTCACATGGTGTTAAATTTCAGTATCGTTGATTGTGAGTGACATAAAAAGGTAGAGTCAAAATAATTTCTCAAATTCCACCTTTACAACAATCGAATATTGAAGAGAAAAAGAAACGGCTTTCAAATTGTGATAAAAGAGAAAAAACATAGCATTCTATCTAAATATTTGCATTTCTTAAATTTGAAAACTTTTAATCTAATAAATTATGTTATAAATCATAACATAATTTATTATTATTTATTAGATTAAAAGTTTTCAAATTTAAGAAATACAAATATTTAGAATGCTATGTTTTTTTCTCTTTTGCAAGAATTTGGAGTTTGGAAATGACTAATAAAAAGGCTCACGTCGATCATACTTATTGTTAGTAGATTGTCTTGACGAATTTTTCGACTTCATATATTTTATTATATATGATGATCCGATTTCATATGCAATTCGATTATCAACGATGCCAAAAAATATTATCAAGATTGTACACGATATTTGGACATATATGTTATTTTTGATGGAAGTAAATTCTATTAAAAAACACAAGCAAGGAAACACAGAACGAAGTATTATAGAAACTATTTCGTTGAACATTTCTTAACAATTCTCCTATATGTAGAAATTATATTGAATATGTAATTAAACTAATTAAAACATAAATAGTTTAAAAAGAAATAAATTATTAATATTAAATTATAAATTCAACTAATTAAGAATATCATTTTGTTACACAAAGTCTACTGACAATCTTTATGTCAGTGCACGGAACATCAGAATTAATTTTAGAGATATGGTTTCTTCGGCGAAGTCCTCCAAAAATTATATGTCCCTATGCGACTTTTTTTAAATATATATATATATATATATATATTATATATTTCTAAAAATATTTTATAAAAAAATGGTCACTGACACTTAGTGCTCTATTCCAATCATTAATTATTTACAAGTTATGTGTTTTTAGTATATATCAGTGTTAATCAAAGAATTTCAAAACCACTGATGATGATGTAGAATTTTACGTCGAAACGTATGGAAAAATAAAGATGTTTTAAAAATATTTATTATATTTATTTATTTTACTTGATGTGACGCTCTTCAAGAAATTGATCAAACATTTCAATATCAAATTTATTTATATACATATTTCTGTATATATATACAAAATATTCAGAAAAATTCATCGCCAGTATGTCACGGCCTGAACTAATAGAATAGAGTTAATGCCGAAAAAGAGTTTACAAACAACAACACAAACGCTGCGTTGTGCGTTAGTCATAATTGAAATACGTTTCAGAACAACGAACATATGATAGATTTATTTTTAGCTGTTCTCATACACGACAGAGGCATGCAACCTCAAGATTTACTTGTAAATCAATTCATATAATTTTAGTTATTATTAATTACATGTATCGTTAAATTGTGCAATTCGAGCAAGTCCCTAGGACACTGATATAATCTTTTGTTCATTTATTTTTCAATGGCGATCGAAATTGAAGGGCCGATTTAGTGAACATGAACTTTTTTATACATACTCTAATTTAGACAAAAGACAGAGGAGTCGTTTGTTCGAGGAACTGCAGGTAGTGAGACGAAAAAGCAACCCTTATTTCGAACCAAAATATTAAGACGAGACAAGAAAACATCCGGACACATAATATGGTACAGAGGTTGTTAAATACACAGAATCAGATGAGAGATATTACTCGAAACGGATATAAATGCAAGTGAAGGATTATCTCATCGTGAAGACATAAGAATGCGTCGAATAAGTCTTTCTTGTCTATAAAAAAAAACTGCAAAACATGCTCTATAATCTTCATTATTAACTTCCCGAATTCCCGAAGTAGAAGTTTGTTTTCGCGAAAAAATCCGACTTGATAATTCTACGTTTTCTCGACGTTCCAAGTTGATTCTGAATCGTTTGAGAACAAATTTGGAAAAGGTACGTGTTTGTATCTGAGCCGATTTTTGATCTATCATCGACGTTTTATCAAAAACGGCTAACCTAATTGAATGTTAATTTTTTGCATTTTTAATTGAACTTACAGTATCGATAGAGTTCATGATAACAAATGAGAACAAATATCATAAAATATTATACCCTTACGAAAAGTAGTTAAATTATTAATTATATAAAAGTATCCAAAATAAGTTGTGTGACGGAATTAACTTTTTGATAAGAGTAATTGAATTAGAGGTTAAAAAAAGTAATATTTAAGTACCTATGATAACGATTAATTTCAAATACCTGAATAAACACGACAGTGATGTCTCAACATCAAAAATAATATTAGCACAAAATATATATTAGCACATTATAAAAATTACTTATTGGAAATTATGTTTTAATTATACATGGTAATAGCTTAATCTAGCAATATTTTATCGAAAGCTTCAGTACTGTGTTGAATTTTGTGACAAAAACCTCAAATCATTTGTAATCTTAGTACTTTACGTGTGTTTATATTCACATAAATTAGTATTCATATTATCAATGGAAACACGTGAAAGATATTCAAAATACCTACGATATGCAAGTTGATAGGCATGGCATGTCAACGTAATGAAACCCCGAAAACCTAGGATTCCCACAGGCTTTAAAGGTAACATGTGTAATTTTTCTGTTCGGAAAGTTAAAATAACGACATTTCATGGATACAACTGAAAATTTTTAATCCTTTTTAGTAGTAACACACCAAAAGTATAACCTAGTCTTTTATATAATTAATATTTAATAGCACAATATTAGTTAGATTAGAGAGTAATTCGCTAAATTCTTACTTCGCAGACGCACGCGACTTGTTCCTGTGTGAATCCGAAGGAAGGCAGAGAGGATTCGCGGCTGCCGGCGTTATTCATGTTGGGGACAGCAACTTGGTACTGAGGTGATGCGGGCCTGCCGCTGTTGGCACCGCCAAGCTCGAAATACTCCCCGCTGGGATGCAGCATCGCGTTCACTCTGGATATTATTTTTTTCTTTCACGAACGATCGCTTTTTGTTTTTTAACTCGCATGTGAGGACTATTAAATTCAATTCAAATACCATCAACACTGAAATACTATCACTGTTCCACAATTTCACAATTAGCGACGTTGACTCATACCATTGCGATAAAACAGCTATCGAAAATGTCACTGTGCACAATTTTTTAAACACTTGACAATGAAACAAAATTAATTACAAGCACAAATCACAATCACAATCACAATCACTAGTATTATAACAAGCAAATTCGTTTTATCCAATTAACTCGATAAGAGCGTTGAAATAATAATACATTTTAGTCAGTTTGGGTCACACGCGTACGGATATAGACGAGCGAGTGTAAATTGGGATAATTCATGCGCACTCAACTCATATCTTAGACTAAGCAAAGCGCGACGCGGACGTCTGCATCGGCACCGGAAACAACACTGGCCAACGCCAAATGACAGAGCCGTTCAGCGGTTCAGCGATGCAATGGGCGGAGCTTAACGCGAGGCGGTACTTCGGTAATCACCGTGGGCAGGCTATACCTGTGTACTCGCGATCTTTTCGAGTGCAAACAATAAGTGCTAAGTGGTAAGTACGATTAACACGAGATACCAGCCCTTCGCACGATAAATACCTTATGTCATAAATTATTACCCAATTTATAAAGTTATATGTGACACTTTGCCTCTTAGTCATTTTGTATCAACTTTCCGATACGTGCAAATATTCGACTTGACCGGTAAGAATTAAGATTTAGCTATTTAGTTAAATTTCATTAAAAACTAATCAATGCGATATTCAATTAATATTCTAATTCAAAACAAGCTTATAATATCTGTAATTGTACACTGTAATTAATTTGACAGTTTATTCTAATTCGCATTTCAGAAAAGTATTTTTCATTAAAGTGTGGTAGTACCAAATTTCGATATTTTTTTTATAATTTAACCGTTTCGATATGTTCAGACTATAAAATCTATCCTCGTACAAAGTTTCTATATTAGTTATTAAATTTAATAGTTATTAAATTTTTTAAATCAGTTGAAGATTTTTTGAAATTTTCTGTGGATTCTGAAGAAAAGTCTCGACTTGCAAAAAACGCTATAAGTTTTGTCAATGGTTCCAAAATTTTTAAAATTTTTGAAATCGGTTCAGCTGTTTTTGTGGAAACGTCGACGAAGTGTAAGAAATTGGCTCACATACATACATACTTTTACAAATTTTGGGCCAAACGATTGAGAATGGCTTAAAACCTTAAGGAAACATAAAATTAGCAAGTCGGATTTTCTGGCGTTGGGGAAGTTGAAAAAGCCACATAATTGATCATTTTTCTGATATCTTTATGAAACTTTGAATCATTTTGCAAAAACCTCATATCGAATATGTAAAAATTGATTGTTTTATTAACTCCCGAAGGAGAAGTTCACGTTTTCATAAAAAAATCCGATTTGCTAATTTATGTTTTCTCGACGTTTCAAGCCATTCTGAATCGAATAAGACCAAATTTGGAAAAAGTATGCGTGTGTGTGTAAACAGATTTTTTGCCGTAAATCGACGTTTTCTCAAAAACGGCTAGACCGATTTAAAAAAATTTGAAAGTCATTCAATGCATTTCGATGAGGACTATTGTTTGTCAATTTTGTACGAAAAACAAAAGAATTAAATTTTTCGTTCACGTTTTAGCCCGCAATTCTGGGAATCGTGCTGATTAGTTTTGAGGGCTATCGTTTGTCAGTTTTGTGCGACGATCTGCCGAGCCATTTCTTTGTAATTAGAAAAAAGTGTTAAATTTTTCGTCCACATTTAAGCTCATACTACCAAACCGATTTAAAAAAATCAAAAACTGTTCGAAAGATATTAGTCGGGAATGATACTAATTAGTTCTCGGTGAAAATCTACCGAGCCGTTTTCTTGTAATAAAGTGTTGAAAAAAAAAATTAAGCTGGTTTTTATGAAACTTTTTTTGACAATATAATGGTCTTATAGAATTTACTGAAATATTGCGGCCTTACGATAAGTAGTTTAATTTTTAAAATTCATCAAAGTTTGAGAAAATGAGTAGATTTTTTGACGTTTTTTAAAATTAAAATTAGACTGGTATAACAATTAGATTGGTATAACAATTTTAAGAGTCTTAATGAACACCATTAAATTCCTAAGGAAACTGGTTCAATTATAAAAATGGTTGATTTTTGAAAGTTCGGTTTTAATTGTGTGTCATACATCCACTCGGAATTCTTTTAATCACACATAAATTATTATTATTTTTTTATTAAGTCGTTTATTTACACATATCGGGAAGTTCATGTAACTTGCCTCAAGGCAAAATACCAATACCAACTAGTTTAATTTTTATTAACTTCAATTTAAATTTTACGGTAGTTCATGTTGATTGTGACATTGAAAGAATGCCGTACAATTGTTGCTAAAACAAAAGCTTTTAATTATTTTTGAAGAATTTTCCTACCCTTTTAAAACGTACTGGATATTCGTATAGAGTGCCGAAACTATTCTCAGACTCATATTCATAACTCAGCAACTCTCTAAAGTAATTATAAACTTAATGAACTGTGAAAAATATTTATTATAAATTAATGTGAAAACTATACATACTATAAGAATACCATTAAATAGAGAACTATTTAAACCAGCATTAAAATAAAAATGTTAAGAAATAAGTTTTTAACTTCCCATAGGGTAAGTTATTGTAATCGTCCAAAAATCGAAATTGAAAATTTTTACATTTCTCGACGTTTTGAAGGTTTCTGAACATTTTGGCATACCTCAGAAAAAATGGATGTGTGTGTGTATGTATGTATGGATTAAATTTTTCGTCCACATTTTCGGGCGCACGGATCAACCGATTGGAATGGTTCAAAAAACGATTCGATTCCTATTGATAGGGAGATAGAGTTTTCGGCAAAGGCAGGTCTAGCCGTTTCGGAAATACAGAGCAAATAGTGCAAAAAATAGAAATAGAGTTTTTGAGAGATCGGAGCATCCGATTTGAATAATCCAAAAAACATTCAATTCGTAATGACGGGGAGAAGGGGTGATTAGTTTTGGCAGGTCCATCGGTTTCGAAGATACAGAGCTAAATGTACAAAAAATGGCAGTTTTTGAGAGAACTAAGCGTTCCATTTGAATGATTCAAAGAACTTTCTGCTTGTTTTAACTAAATAATTGCTTTTGGAAAAAAAAATTTGTTTCAATATTTTTTTTTCAAAAAATATTTTTTTTTCAAAAAATATTTTTTTTGTATATAGAAAATTATTAACTTCCCGTAGGGTAAGTTATAGTAATCGCAAAAAAATCGAAAATGAAATTTTTTATATATCTTTACGTTTCAGAGGTTTCTGAACATTTTGGCATACCTTAGAAAAAATGGATGTATGTGTGTGTGTGTGTGTGTGTGTGTGTGTATGTATGTATGTATGTATGTATGTGTGTGTATGTATGTGCGGATACAAATTTTCGTCGACGATTTCGGGAACACGGATCAACCGATTTGAATAATTCAAAAAACATTCGATTCGTACTGATAAGGAGACGTGCTGATTAGTTTTTGGCGAAGTTAGGTCTAGCCGTTCCGAAGATACGGGGCAAAAAGTGCCGAAAACGGTAACTCAGTTTTTAAGAGAACGGAGCATCCGATTTGAATAATTCAAAAAACATTTTACTTGTATTGGCAAGATGAAGAGTTGATAAAATTTTCATAAAGGTAGGTCTAGCGGTTTCGGAGATATGGAGGAAAAAGTAAAAAAATGAGCTATTTGGCGGTCAAAAATGATCATTAGACATATGCACATCAAATTATCAGATATTTTATAGACATTTTAACAATAAGTATACATTTTGTTAACATTCCTATGGGTTCCGTACCAATGCTTATGCGTTAGACAGCGACGCGGCGCTTACGCGCTTTATATTTTGTCCCTATGCAGTTAAAGCAGTACGATTGCTTTGAAAAAAAAGTTCAGATCTTCCACAATATGTCAAAATAAAGAAAAAAAATTTTTTTTCAAAAAAAAAAAATAATAAAAAAAAATTTTTTTTTTTTTTTTTTTCAAAAAAAAGTAATTTTTTGTCCAATTTATAGTTTCTCAAAAATCTTATTTTTTCAAAGTAATTTTTTTTTCAAAAATGTTAATCGTTTTTAAAAAAATAATAATTTTTGGTACGGGAAGTTCCAGCAATTTGCCTTAAGGCACGATGCCGTAATTGCCTTAAGACAGAATTCCACTTACAGCTAGTTCTGATTTTAATTGTAATTTTGACTTAAGTTCTAATATACTTTAAACAAATATTTTTTTCAACTTTGCAGTTCAGTTTATATAATTCTTATAAATAAATACTGTAACATTGTCTAATATTTATAATATCTATTTGAAAACATTTAATATTCCTCGAACATTTCGTTACGGTACGGAAAGTTCCAGCAATTTGTCTTAAGGCACGATGCCATACACACCACTAGTTTTAAAATAAATTGAGTGTCATTATGAATAACTGTTTTTCATCTGTTTTCGGTATATCGATACAATTTGAACTGAACAAATTAAATCTTAGTCTAGTAAAAGAACTCTTTCAATCAGTGTCACAGAAATTTCAATAGAATGCTAATGAAAAGATCACACAAAATGTTTTTATACCAATCAGCAAAGATATTACAAATACTTTTTTTTAAATAATTTGATTATTTAAGAAATTGTTTCAATTATCTACTTCGATTTCACAAATAAATTACAGTAATTTATGAAAAGAATTATATATACAGTGGCGTCGGAACCATGTGGGCTTGAGCGTTAACATTAAAAAACCATTTTGTACATATTATATATATATATATATATATATATATATATATATATGTACCATATATATAACAAATGTAATCTGAGTGGATAGATAGATATTAATTTAGAAATATGAACAAACAACACTTTTTTTTGCACTAATTTATTAAATAATAATTTCACAAACGTTTCGAGACTAGGTTTGTCTCACCATCAGTGTGTTATAAATTTAAAATCTAAAATATGGAGTCCTATATAAGCATTATGTGTATGCGCGTGTGTGTATATGTTTTATAAATATGTATTTATGTTCTACGTCAAAACATATTTTTATGATTTTTAAAGACAAATTGTCAAAAAAAAAACAATTACTTGAAATTATTTTGTACGTTTTGATGTGATATGTGCGTTCTATCAGTAGTTCTAAAAAATGTGCAATGATTTAAACATTTTTACAAAGTAACAAACATTTGTTACAAAGATTAAAATAGTAATCATTTGTATTTTGTTATAATTATCCTTGAAAGTTCCATCAGAATTAGAACATGAAGATATAAAAGACCTATTTATCTTATGCTAGTTAATAAAGAAAATACAAGGTTATTTATGATGTGATTAAAAAAATTAATGTAGAAAACAACTACACCATCGAGAACACTGACTCCAAAATTCTATTCATCTACAAAGGATATGCAAAATGTATTATTCACATTTAAATTTGGTATCTTCAACATTTAGAAAATTGACTTGAAAGAATTATATACCTTCACAAATTTATTTATTTGTCATTACATATGAATATATCAATTTGGACCTATTTGGAATATAATAACTTGGATAATAATCATTCGCAATCAAAGAGATTTGGATTAAAAAGAAATGTATGCACACATGTAAACCTATAAAAGACAGCATTAGACAATACTATTACAATGCAAATAGACAGACAACAATAAATTTAAAGTATCCACTATAGTTGACTATGCAAATATCAATAACCACAGGTTAGATTCCGATAATTCAATAGCATTTCACAACACAAAAACTCATTTCAACTTAGTATAGTAGAGTATATATTATTAGCAGCTTACATGAATGACGTAGTAAATTTAAGAAAAACAGCAATATTTAACATAATTCATTTATAAATCTTATTAACTCCCTATAACTTTTTTTGTAAATCTTCTCTTAAGGCGTCCTTTAGTTAACCGTTATGTTAATATTATTTGTTATTTTTGTAGTGATGATGTTAGTCTCATCATCACTATTACTGTGCAAAGTGCAAAATAAGAGAGTGTGAAGTGTAGAGTAAATAAATTCATTAATTTTTTATTAATACATTCACATGACAAAAAACAGTAAAGGTGTATATAGCGATAAACCTTTAGATATAATTGAATCTTCAAACAATTTCACGATATGAATATTTTATGGATATAATTTTATCTATTTTTTGTGCTTAAATAATATTAGATTTAAATAAAATTTACCCCAAAAATTTAGTCATGTGAGCGCATTTACGATACATATTCCAAACCAAGAAAATAACATATTTATGTGCGGAGCAACAAACCTTTGATTTCTGGATTCATGTGAGTCTCTGAAAATGAATGTAAACAAAACCCTATGTCGACACCTTCATCGTGCTCATAGAATGAGTTATTATGTTCATCATGCATCCTATAGATAAATAAAGAAATTTACATACTTACAAGTTGAAAATAATATAGCATTAATTTGATTGCAAACAAAAGATAATATGAATGTAAAATATATACATACATTTATGAGGTAATATTGTCCTAGAAAGCAGAAGTATAGTTTCAATTTGAAATATCATCACATATAAGAGACAGTTTTCAATAATTTCTAAATATCAATTTGGTAATAACTCAAATAATTTAATGTACGAAGCATTGGTGACAGCTCAAATAATTTAATGTATGAAGCGGATTATTCATTTAATTCATGGAGAGTGAAACCTGTAAAGATATTTATTAGAAAGAAATTAATATACATATATGATATTCATGGTCAAGGTATTTATTTTTCATATACTACTTAATAGGTGCTCTGCAAGTACTAATCAAAAAGAATTCAACTAACTATACATAGATAAAAAAAAACGTAGGTCAACTACTGTTAGTTACAATACGAATTAAAAATTGTAATTGATACAAATATATTAAATATAATTTAAGAACCAATGTTACTGCTAACATGTATCGAAGAACAAAATACATCAATAGAAAAATAAATTCCTGGCATGTTAATCAACATTACTGTTTCCTTAACTGATACTAATAATAAGATAATTCACAGTGCAGAAACATATAAACAAACAAATGCTATATTTCCTACAAAATTTCATATTTATATAAATTTTATCAAGAATATATCACATTCAACTGAAACAGTTTGACGTTTGTTGGAGCCGTTGGAGTATTTGACAGTAAAGGCACCGACACCGACTAGAAAGAAATGGTATTATATTTTAAGCAAAATTATTTCACACGTTAATAATAATACTTACAAATTTTTTAACTTACAAGTTTGTAAGTCGTCGCATATTTTTTCAGAAACTTTCAGGAACTTATATCAATCTTTCGTCAGAAATTGATGCGAGTGTTTTTCACATTGTTTAGGTTATGTGATGGAGAAAAGTGCAATCACGAATCAATACAATACATCAATAGATTGCTCTTCAATTAAATTAAATTCAACTACATATCTACATTTCCTAACTACATTTACTAACTTTTAATTTTTGTGGTATATACATGATATATAGTAGTTAATAATATACTTACCAAACTTTGTAAGTCGTCTATCTTTTTTGTCATAAATTTATGCGACCATATTGATAGTTGAATTGAATTTAATTGTTTTGACATTAACAAACAATAATAACAGTCAGTACAAATAAGAACATAGACAAAAGTGCAAAAATCGAATCAACAACAATCCAAGAGCAGAACCAGCAGCAAATCGATACAGCATAATCATAAATAGATGGCGCTTTATGTATTTTGGCGCCATTTTTGAATTTAAACTGGTCAATAAAGTTGAACTCTGCTCAACTGTCTACGTTTCTTCTCACTTTTAATTTTTATAAAGCTCATGATTTTGTAAAAAAAATCATCACAGCTTATATAGGTATTCCATAAATATTCTAAATATTCACTCAAATAGTTGAAACGCTCTGATTCATCATTAATTTTTTAGAGACTCCAAAGTCTTCTAATATCCACTAAAGATGACATAAAATGTAGAAACGTTTGGATATATATATATATATATATATATATATATATATATATATAATTATATATATATATATATATATATATATATATATATATATATTTGTATATATAATATTGCAAAGATCAACATGAAACTGGAAGGCAATACCGGCAATGCCGGTGTAATGTGTAATATATAATTCATAATACATATATACATTTTGCTTTTTCAATAAAAAATAACTGAAATTATTGTGTATTGACGAGTATACACGTCAATACACAAAAGTCGTCACAAAATATGTAACTATATTAAACAAAAAAGTAAATATTAGTGATAGAATTTTTAATTTTACGAAATAAACCCATCATCTTCATCCAATATCTTAGCACAGCAATTTTTTTTTGTGGTTGACGAATATACTCGTCATGACTCGATTCTGGCGAAACAAAACTGTTCGCATAAAGGCAACAAAAATATTTAACTGATTAAAAGAAAGAATTATGTAGTATAATCGAATACTGCGATAATGTAGTAATATGTAGTAATTGCCGTAGCTGTCCGTCTACGGCTACTACGCCACGCCAGGAACGTCGAGTTACGATGGTATGGTAAGGATCATTCGGTTATCCTCGCGATCGGTCCTCGTAAAATCGCCATTTTCTGCGTTCCGTGTCCTGCGTCCTGCGTCCTGCGTCCGCCGATGTCTCATTGTTGGCGCGATTATCGCGCAAGTCCGAACGTCGGTGCCGCGAGTCGCAGGATCAATACGTGTGTGTCAAGTAACGCGCAACCAGAAGTTGTCAGTACAACGAGGTCGCGGCACGATATCGTACGCGCGATACGGCGACGTCCGACAATATTACGCATATTCAACTAATTTATTCATATCATAACCAACCGTTCAGTTCAAACTAAACTAAACTAAAATAAACTAAACCAAAGCGAAAGCTAACGACTAACGGGGAGGATAAGCGGGGGGCCACGAGGCGACCCCAGTTTCATTTTACATGTGTGCACGTATGCGAAATAACAGTTCGTCGACAAGACGTTGTACGTCCGCCCTATAGTGAAACACGAAAAACCTCATATCCGATGGGATAAAATCGACCGAATTCAGCGGACGACTGAAGATCGCCGCATTCAACGTCCTAAAGTTAACAACTTAGCATCAGGTCAGTGTGTAAACATATCAGGTCGCCAAAATTACATGAACTTTGTAGGCTGCAAACGAAATTAGTGCAAGCCAAGTCTTTGTGTTTATCGTTAATCTCTTGTGCAGGATTTATAATCAGTGTTATTTAGTTGTGGTAATGATTTTAACATCGAATCGAGGTGTTACAGTATTGGTGCCAACTTATCGTGATATTGCAGCCTTATGTATTAGGTTTATTTAAGCTTTCGACGAGATTACACGCAACTATTGCGAGCGATGTGTGATAAAGGCCGAAATTATGTCCACAACTTTCCAGTCAGACGATCGCATAATATTTCAATTAATCACAAACAAATTATTCGTTCCAACTAATGCACTAATGCACTACTGAAAATGACATACCTTATACATACACACACATATATTTTTAGATTTAATTTTTTTGACGACGATTGGCTGCAAATTAACATTTCAAGAATGGATATATATATATTATATAATATATATATATATATATATATATATATATATATATATATACATTGAAATGAATAAAACAGCCAATGCGTCGAATGTAGAAAGTTTATTTTAATTTTTTTTATAATAATATTTCAAAACTAGCTGTTATTACCATGCTACTTTAATATTCAAAACAGTGACTACTCTTACAGTAGTAGGAGTAAAAAGCGAATTTTTTTTAATAAAAGTTTCAATAAATTATTAACAATTATAGTAATATATTCAATTAGCATGTACAATATTATTCAAGTATTTAAATTTTTATTAAAGTTAAAAAGTGTCGTCATTTACAATTCATATTTTTCCTATTCTCCGATTCAAAATTATTTTAACATTATCTTTTAAGTTTTTTAACACCACAATTAATTTCATAATTTATTCTCATTCTGATACTACACTTATTTATTGTTATTCAGAATTGAGCTATAAAAATTTTACGCAACAAATATTCAAAGGATTTAATTACCGTCAAAAGAATCTCAATACATTTACCTATTTTGAATACTGAACATTCTATTGCACTGCGCGACACTAATTTTTTTTCCTGAGATATTATGAAGGTTTCGTGTAATTCGATGACGCTGATTCCGAAAACAGTAACAAAATATGCTAGCAGCTCTAGTTTTTGAGATATGCCAATATGCTTGTATTACCTCAAATTACAATGAAAAAATACAACATATTTCCTTTTATGCCTTCAAAGTTTTTTATATGATTTTCGAGCATGGTCAAGGCCTGACTGATCCATGATTCTTCGCAAGCTCCAACAATTGTCAGCCCTCATGTGGAAGTCCCAACTTCCCTGATATCGCTCCTCCAAAGTCGTGATGTCTTGGTGGATACTTTCGCCGTTCTCTTCGCTAACATCTTCCAGGATTTTCCAAACACCGTTTTGAACAAAAGTGCGGGTAATGAGTTTAAATCAATTACGTCAAGTATATCAGTTTTTAATTGTTCCAGTCTTCTTTTTTACGTTGGTATCTACATCCATTACATGGTAGCATCAATATAGTTTGTGTAGCAGATCGTAAGTAGACCTCAATTGTTGTGGTTTATGACTATTTATTTCCATTGGTGTTTAACGTACAGAAGAAACAAATGTCGTGGTGATTGTCGAGGTTTTTTCTAAATCACGGGCGTATTGAAATTAAAGCATTTCATTTTCCTTCTGGATAGTAATGTAAACATACTGCACAACTTTTTTACATGGTATGAAGAACCTATTTTTTGTCTTTATTGCGCAATTCAGTTTTAAAGTGGTAAAAATACGATGTCTAGTGTCTACGCAGTTCGACATAGATTTCCGGTATATGTCAAAAACATATTCACCACAGAGGTATCAAAAACTATCTAGATTACGTACACAACATCTTAGGACGAAGCCATACCAAAAACAACAAACAATACTCTTAGTTATTCATTAAACTGCGATGATCATAGCCATATTTGAAATCAGCATGCAATTCTAAATAGATGTACAAAAAAAAGTTCGAGCAATAAAATAAAAGTACCATTTTTGTCGCGCAGTGTTATCACTCAACAATTTTTCAAGTCATTGTTAATTGCATTACATAATTTTAGTGTTAGGCTAAATATCTGTAACTAATTTAATTAAGGTAATTAGTATTATCCTGTAAAAGGAATACACTATATATATATATATATATATATATATATATATATATATATATATATATAATAATTACATGCCTCGGTACTCGCAAAGTACAGAAGTCGTGGCAGAAATTACATAATTCTACTTACATTTTTGTTCAATAAAACTATCATTCTTCTGTTTACATCATACGAAAAATTATAAAAAATGCATAGTGTTGACAAGTTAGTTGTATAAATGTTAGTGCCAATCTCTAGTGCTGTGTACACTTCTCTATATGTAACCAACCAACGTCATATCCACTGATGATGACATTAAATTGAATGTCGAAACGTTTGGAAATAAAGATTATTTTATAAATCTTTGGCTTTTCTTTGTTTGATGTATCGCCCTCAAGAACTCACTCATATATATATATATATATATATATATATATATATATATATCGCAAAAATACATCAATAACCAAAATGTGACCTACTGTTAGACAGATATAGAAATCAGTCTATATTCTATGTCTATACGGTCGGTTCCAACCTATTTAAACAGTTGACAATGGCAGTGTCATTATGATTATCGATCCGCTAAAATGGTCGCATAACCAAGCGTAGCCCCGATATGTACGATATACGGTTTGGTATACGATAGCGGGTACATGGTTAAATTACAACTGTACAACTGTACAACTGTACCACTGTACTTGTACAACTGTAGAGCACCGCGAGCGCCATTCGAAGTGGTGGTTCGAGTGGACGAACAATTGCCGATTGCCGGGTACGCGCCATCACTTTGACCGATATAGATAATGACACCTTCATTTACAGAATGCCATTAAATTAATGAGCTCAATATAAGAGACGATTACGAGCCGGCGGTGATACCAATAAATACTTACTTCATGAGACACTAATAAGCAGGAGGCGTATTATTACGAAATATTGACACAATCTTTTCAATGCACCCCAGATTAAAATTATTTCATTTAACTATTACATTATATAATGGTACAAGTCTGAATCGAACGGAATTTACATTAAAAGATCATTACAAAACAAAAATTAAACATGTAAGTTAGTAAGTTCATTATTTATTGCTTCTTTTATACCGACGATTGGCTGAAAATTAACACTTAAGAATATGTCTCAACGTTGAACAAAAAAAATCTAAAAATTATATATATATATATATATATATATATATAAAGGGCCGGTCTTACCTTGAATGCAATGCAAGCAAAAAATAGGGCGCATGCCTTAGGGGGCGCTAACACGAGGTTTGATTATGAAGTTTTAAATATATTTGTTTTAATATCATTCAAGAAATATATAATTTCATTGCATCTTCTACTAATCTTTGCATCTTCTACTAATATTTTTAAAATACATTAAAAATTTAACTTTAAAACACCAATCTGATATACAAGGAGAAAGTAAATATGAATACATACAATTTGGTCCTTATTTACAATTAGGAGAAGTTTACGACACAATTTTGGATATTTTATATAATGAAAAATAAATTAAAATAATCCAACGTGAAGTATCAGTGTCATATTTAATCATGATAGTCTAGAATTTTTTTGCTCAATAAAATAAATCGCGCAAAATCTCCAAAATAAATAAGCAAAATTTTTCAAAATCCAAATATTAATATTACACATGCATTAGAAATAATTGAAAAATTAAAAATATTCTTGCAAGCCATAACGAACATAATGCAATTCTTGGATGTCCTAAAAAGTTTGAATTGAAAATAAGAATTCAAAAATTGTTTGGTAGCATGACAACGATAAAAGACACATCATTTTGATTATGAACACCCGCAAATCGCCTCGATCTTCTAAATATATTAAAAATCAATGTATTTTATGCGTTTTTAGATAATATCTTGTTTTTTGTGTGCTACATGCAGTGTTATTATGAAACGGAAATCTAACGACATAAAAATTTTGATTAAAATCAAGAAAACGGTCCGATAGATCTTTGCCAAAAACTAATCAGGAGAATTTCCAAATGATATCTATGTCATAGTTTTTACGAAAACGCGGGCAAAATTTTGCAATTTTCTGATTATCCTAAAGGAACGGGAGTACTCATCGAGTCACATTGAATGGCTTTTAAATTTTTGAAATTTATTCACACGTTTATGAGAAAACGTCAACAAAAAGTTAAAAATCGGCCCACATACACACATACACACACTGTTTCCAAATTTGGCCTTGAACATTTGTTTTTTTTTGTCGATAGATTATTTAAAAGTTTAATAGTTATTCTAACAATAAGCGAGTCTCATGCTTATAACCGTCCACGGGATAACTTATATTTTTCATTATCTTTTGACATATACTAGACCAGCACCAGCAGTAGTCAAATAATCAATATCCGGCTTAAAAGATAAACCGACACAGCAATTCTATAAATAGCAAATTAGTTTCATATATTTTGCATACAATTTCGCACACATTTTACCAGATTCATTATAATACATTTAAAATTACTCCATAAAATACCAAGGCATATTTGATTAAATTTTGAATAAAAAATATGATTGTCTCTTATTTTTAAAACGTTAATTAGCAAGAAGTAGTTGTGTACTATAAATAAAGACAGAGTTAATGTATGACATCTTTGAAAAGAATCAGTGCAGCTTAAATTTCGTTTTAAAAATGTAATAAATTAAACACGTGTTAAAATCACACACACAATTGTGTATAAAAATAGAATACTTTTATTATCTAAAAAAGTAAAATTACTGAAGACATTCTGAATTTCAAAAAAATCGAATTATTTTTAAATTTTCTGCAAATGTCGTTTTTGTCTGAAGTTGAAATATTTTAAATTTGAAAAAAAATTATGTAACTTTTGACAATTTCAAGAATCTGTATGTCTACTTAAAATTCTGAAACTATAATTAGATTACTAATAAACGAATATTTCATGAAAGCAGACTTTAAATTGTTTTAATAAGCAGATGGGGAACAAATATTTGATAAATTGCAAAAATTATGCAATATGTTGACATCTTTTATGTCTGAAGATTAGTTTTTGGGGTAGACAGATCCAATGGAGATACGGACAAATATAGGTATTTTGCTACCCAGTATCATTTAATATCTTTATTTTCAAATGGAAATTGACATCACGACTAGATAACCAGTTCGCCTAAAAGAGTCTTAAATGAATAGGGTTATGTAAAGTAATCCACAAAAGCGTCTGCCCCGAATTCTAAATAGAATTAATCATAATGGAAGCATTGCCAATAGAATGAAATCGTCGTGTTTCAGTTGCGGCGCGGTGAGAGTGCCCGCGATAGGACAGCGAAGCGATGATCGATCCCAGTTCGTCTGAAGAAGAGAGCGAGGAAGAGCATGGAGGAGGCGGCGGAGGCGTCAAGCAGCAGCACCACCATCACAGCCGCGCAGCGCCGCCGAGCGGAGTGCATTCGTCACAGGCGAAGGTCAACCATCACGCTCACGCGGCGGACAGTCCCGCGCACCTAGCGCATCAGGCACACGCCACGCACCACGCGGCCAGAGATCATGCCACTCATACGCAGGACGCGCATCCGGCCGGACTGGACGTACCAGGATCGGCGGCGGTTTCAAGGTCTCTCCAAAGCATTATTAATGACATTCACATACGACTATTTCATTATTATCACATTTTGCATTTTGGATTGGCATCCGACAACATTAGCGCCAAATTTTATTATTGTCATCGTGCTGTTCAAGTACTTTTTAATCCAAACAGAATAATCCACAACTACAACATTCTCACAACGTCGGAACAATTGCTTTATTAGGTGTTAAGTAAATTACTTTGTACCGGTGGCGCACAGAAATTTGCTCAAATGCATGAAAGACATATTAAATGATATTAATAATAAAATGTACTACTACATCGTCTGAAACTTCCGGCGATTTCCAACCACAATAACTTTAAGCGGAAGAATTTTTAATTACAAAAACGAATCGCATATGTATGTACACAAGTCGAAATAAATCATAATTATTCGTTAAAACATAAAAGTATATTCCTTAACTTTTTATTCACTGAAAATGCATTTTTTATTCTTCATTGTATAATGCATTTTTTACTCGTTGGTTAATTGAAACAATTCGTGAAAATTATTTATGTATCTATACATATATATAATAGATAATCAAATTCAATTCAACTTATTTAGATTTTTATGATCTCTTTTTTAGATATTCAATCAACAATAATTTACAACTTCAAGAATATAACGCAGCCTAGTTTGAAACTATTGGACTATTTGTTTCAATTGAATACTTATAAATATGTATAGATGTATATAATAGCTTTGTTTAATGTGTGAACATAAAACTAATACATCATTGTATAATATTACCATACGAATATAAAAAATAAATTAATGTACCCTTTAAGAGAAATAAGTCGCCGAAATGTGAAATGAGTCTCTAATATGAATTAGGTAACACGTCAATACGAATAATTCGGTCATAATATGATTTTATTATAACAATCAACTAAAGAAAATAAATACGTTCGAAACAAATACATATATATATAAACAAAGCATCACTTTTTATCGGGATTTAGTTCAGAATCGCTGGATGAGAAATTGCTGGCGCAAAAATCTACTTATTGTAAAGTCGAGGCTTTTGGTTCCCTAATGAAACGGTTTAATCAAATTAACTTAGTTTCGTTTCATATGCTAGTTCAGCATTCACGTTTCAGTTCTTCGCATGACAGGTCACTATCGCCATCATGTTCGGGATCGGCAGATTCGCCCTCGCCGCGAGGTCTTGGTTCGGCGCGCGCCAACTCGCTACCTCGGCCTACCAGCCCGTCGCCCTCAGTGGCCAGCGAGAAGATGGAAGTCGACATTCAGGTATCAAAATTTATATATTATTCAAGCTTGCCAACATCATATATTACGCTATAATAAAATAGTGTTTTTCAAATTATATTATAACAATCAATAAATCTATAAAAATTGCAGGAAAAACAAGAGAGAGAGGAGGAGGAACGCAAGAGACGGATCCAGTTATACGTTTTTATATCCCGATGCATAGCATATCCGTTCAACGCAAAACAGCCGACGGATATGACACGCAGACAGATGAAAATAACGAAACATCAGCTGGAAAATATCGCACAGAAATTTCAAGTAAGCTTAGTGCTTATTTACAGTACCATTCCTTATTGTAATGTTATAATGCATTTCTTAATGTAAATTTAAATTAATAATCCTAAACGCTTAAGCCCGTGCGACAAATATTGTAAAGAAACCGCGAGATAAATAAATTAATTCTTTCAGGCTTTCCTCAAGGGTGAAACGCAGATCATGGCGGACGAAGCATTTCAGAACGCAGTACAGAGCTATCACGATGTGTTCCTGAGATCTGAACGGGTTGTCAAAATGGTGCAATCGGGGGCGTGTTCGTTGTACGACTTTCGAGAAGTATTTCGAAATAACATCGAGAAACGAGTAAGGTGCGAAACCTGCGATACCTAATTCAATCCAAAATACTTTTTCGTGTTACTTCAATTCATTTCTCAATTCTATTGAAGATCGCTTCCGGATATGGAGGGTGTTACGAAAGAGACCGTTTTCACGTCCTGGATGGCAAAATTTGATTGTATATTAAAAGGAACAGGTAGATTGTAGAAGCAAACATATAATGTTTTTTTTTTTAAAAAAAAAATCATTATAATATCATTTAAGGTGATGAAGATTCAAAGAGGCCTTCTAGAATGCAACAATCTCTAAATAGTGAATTAATACTATCTAAAGAACAGTTGTACGATATGTTTCAACAAATTTTAGGAGTAAAGAAGTTTGAACACCAGTTGTTATTTAATGCGTTATTGGTAATTTTATTAATGTTGTATATATGGAATGTCATAATTGTATATGTATAAATATTAAAATAATTTGCAGTTGGACTCGGCGGATGAACAAGCGGCAGCCATACGTCGAGAATTAGATGGAAGAATGCAAAGAGTATCGGAAATGGAAAAGGTAAATTCGAATTTAGTTTGAATTTGAAAAATACAAGTTTATCGTCAAAGTATTCATTCATATTACACAGAATAGAAAACTTATGCCTAAATTCGTCTTGAAAGAGATGGAGTCATTGTATATAGAAGAACTTAAATCATCCATAAATTTACTTATGGCAAACTTAGAATCATTACCCGTTTCAAAAGGTTCTATGGATTCAAAATATGGCCTGCAGAAGCTGAAACGATATAATCATCGGTATGTGTATCATATGAATGAAACACGTTATAATACTGTCTGATCATAATCTTACACAACAATATTACTTTAAACTCAAAGCTCACTCAAAGGTACTTCATGTAGGTCGCAGGGATCGCTTGCGAAACTTGAAGGAGATTCAGCAGACGGTGATACACAATTAACTAAACTAGATGTAGTTCTTACTTTTCAATTAGAGGTAACATAATTCTGGCTGAGAAACGGATTAAGCTTATATCATTTACAATGTAATCATTATTTTAGGTTGTGGTTATGGAAGTCAAGGGGTTGAAGTCGTTGGCCCCAAACCGTATTGTTTATTGCACAATGGAAGTTGAAAATGGAGAAAAGCTTCAAACCGACCAGGCAGAAGCTTCCAAACCCATGTAACATATAATAGGATATTCTCATATCCTATTTAAAACATATTAACTATTAAAATTCTAGGTGGGATACGCAAGGCGACTTTTCAACAACACATCCGCTTCCTTATGTTAAAGTTAAATTATACACAGAAAATCCTGGGATGTTGGCCTTAGAAGATAAAGAATTAGGAAAAATCATCTTAAAGCCAACACCGCTTTCGTCAAAAGTTTGTATAATTCGATTCAGAACCAACGATATTTCCATCACTAAACATCTGATATATTTACGTAATTTTTGTTTAGGCACCCGAGTGGCATAGATTGACAGTACCCAAAAATCTTCCCGATCAAGATCTACGCATCAAGATCGCCTGTAGAATGGATAAACCACTAAATATGAAGCATTGCGGGTTCGTACCCCAATAACTCAACCCTCAATCAACAGAAATTGCTATATATAAACTATGATTTATATTGCAGATATTTATACGCCTTAGGAAAATCTATTTGGAAAAAGTGGAAGAAACGTTACTACGTTCTTGTGCAAGTATCACAATATACGTTTGCAATGTGCAGTTACAAGGAGAAAAAATCCGAACCATCAGAAATGATGCAATTGGACGGGTATACGGTAGATTATATTGAAGCGTCTAGTGCAAATCTGATGGTCGGAATGGGTAAGCGTAAGTTTCTTTTGATCCTCTTGGTAATAATAGATCTTATCGTTAGATTAGATCAGGTGTGATATATTTCTCGTTTTCAATATTTCTAATATTGATAACGTGAAATATATAAATCTCTTTCTTTGTTTTAGATTTAGAAGGCGGTAGATTTTTTTTCAACGCCGTTCGAGAAGGCGATAGCATATTATACGCCAGCGACGACGAAAACGAATGCCACTTATGGGTCATGGCAATGTACAGAGCTACAGGACAATCACACAAGCCGACACCTCCGGTCACATTACAAGACAAAAATTCAACAATATCGAAGATTCGAGGAGGTATTTGAAATACATCAGGAGGTATATGCAAAAACATCACATTTATCAAGCTGTTTTGAAATATTTTAGATGCCGACCGAGCGAGGAAGCACGGTATGGAGGATTTCATATCGGCTGATCCTTGTACTTTCGATCATGCGTCTTTGTTCAAAATATTACAAAATCTGACACTGGAATATCGGCTAAACGATCCTTACAGCTCATTAGTTAGTACAAGTGTACAATCCTTTGATATACTTTTATATTTTTATTAAAATTATTCATTTTTTAGGGTTGGTTTAGTCCTGGTCAAGTATTTGTTTTGGACGAATATTGTGCCCGATACGGCGTTCGAGGCTGTTACAGGCACTTGTGCTATCTGTCCGATTTACTTGACAGAGCTGAGAAAAGTGTCATGATTGATCCGACTCTTATACATTACTCATTTGCTTTCTGTGCGAGTCACGTCCACGGCAACAGGTACATAAATAAGCATATTAATTAAATACTCTGAATAATTTGAAAAAATAAAATATGTAATGTACCCCAATAGGCCTGACGGTGTAGGTAGCATAACAAACGAAGAAAAAGAAAAATTCCAGGACATAAAAGAAAGGCTAAGAGTTTTACTAGAGCATCAGATAACAAATTTTAGGTAAAACATGAACATGATTATTCATTGTAAATAAATATCCAGGATCATATTATGAAGTATTGAATAACAGGTACTGTTTTCCGTTCGGGCGGCCCGAAGGAGCTTTGAAGGCAACATTATCCTTGTTAGAACGAGTATTGATGAAAGATATTGTAACACCTGTTCCTCCGGAAGAAGTCAGAGGCATGATTAAAAAGAGTCTGGAAACCGCTGCATTGGTCAACTATACGAGATTGTCATCAGAAGCAAAGATAGAAGGTTTCATTTTATGAGTTTTTATTATGAACGAAATTATCAATGATATATAGTTCATCTTTGGAAAGTTTTCAAAACCAATGATGAATGCAGTATTACTAGAAACATACAACGATTTTTCTAACACGTCCTATTACTTTTGTCGATAGATATTACTTTTATTAGAAAACATAAAAATACAATGAAACTCAAACGTATACAATCCGCAGAGTTGTAATTGATAAATAACAATCTTAAATATGGAACGAAATAAACATTCTAGGGCTAAGTTCGCTCCCTTGCGATTCGTATTTGTTGAGCTAAGTTATAATTATCGATTATCACACATCCGAATTAAAATGTGGAGCTTGCAATACTAATTACTAACACCAAATTAGAAGCTTCAAATGACCGAAATATCCTGCTACAATTTGCTATTTTTACTACTCTAGTAGAGATGAAATATGGATGTGCATTTAAAATAATCGCTTATAATTAGATGATCTGCGGGGCGAGGTTATGGTGCCGCCTGCTAAGAAGTTGGAGGACCTAATTCACTTGGCTGAACTGTGCGTCGACTTACTGCAACAGAACGAGGAGCACTACGCAGAGGTGACAAATACGCGCTTCCTTCTACGGAGAAGTACTTGTTTAAAAACTAATCGACTCATTTAGACATGAAATTATCAATCATACATCAATATTTGTGACACACCTACTTATTAATATATTAACAATCGGTATCACGATACTTTATCGGATTATTGAATTCGACAAACGATCGGCTACTAATATATTATTTTGTACGTCATTTCGAATACCTTTTAGCTTTTTGAATACTACTGTCCTATTATAATAATTTATTTCTTTTGATTGCCAAATGTTTGTCTTGTACCTCTCCAATGTTTGCCTATTGTGGATCTATGGACCTTCTATAAAATTTCTCCTATTGTAAGTTAGATGAAATTATCTAATTTCCAAGAATAAAAAATGATAACCTTGGTGCATATTAAATAAATGCGCTTATAATTGAGGCAAAAACAATTTAACTCCAAGGAAAATAGATAATTTATTTGGAACGATTTCAAATCAATAATTGAAATAATAATAGAATGATCAATTGATCAAGATTATAATACAAGGTGCCCCAGAACTCAACGTCAAGCCGATACAAGGTGACAAGATTAGTGATACCATCATGAGAAAAATCTATCCCAACCAGTTAAAAAATGATGGCCATTCAATTTAGAAGTTTGGTCAAACTGCTCAGAATGCAAAGTGAGTGGCAGACGGTGACGTAACTGAGTAATATGGGCTAACAAAAATCACTTGAGATTTTTATTTGTTTTTTCGATTTCTTTAGTATGGCACTAACAAGTACTGTGTTATTTTACAGTCCTGAGCGCACTTGCCAATGCACTTCAGTGCATGCTTTTAAAATGAGGGCCTTTAAAATTTGATAAATTTTAAATTCATAGTTTAACAAATAGTGTTAGTGCTTGAAAACTTATAATTAGAGCAATCGTGTTATTATTTCAGACTGAGGTTGTAGACAAGTTATATAGGATAACGGTTCAGAAGTTTGAATGAACAAAAATAATGAAAATTTTGACCAAAGATCTAGTTTTTTTTTTTAAAAAAAAGCCCTTGATTTTCAAACTGCACGGGATAGATTTTTTTGTTGGTTCTTCTCGTGATGGTTACAATTAAACCTGTCACCCTGTTTCTAATTGACGTTGAATTGGAATGATCGGAAACCAATAAAAAATTTTAATGATGGTTGTTTTGGAATCGTTCAAAATGTCTATCTACTTATGTTATATGCTGAAAAATTACATGTATTACTTTCATATATGCTGTATTATACTGTTATTACCTCTTTCCAAGATCTATAAAATCACATATAAATGGATATCAATGTCGTGTGGTGATGGTGTTATTGTTTTAATGTTTGTTGTGTAGTTAAGAAAACAAGATCCTCCCGCTGCAACTCAGCAACCAGTCCAACCAGAGACCGTCAATACAAATTCGAAAAAAGCGCCCGTCCCATATCGCTATTGCATGCCAACGCATGCCCTGTACACAGCGCCTGTGGCAACGGCACGTACCCAACCAACAAATTCAATCGTATCGTATATATAATATATGATCGAAACGAGACAAGATAATTATTTCAATTCTACTGCATGATCAATACTGAATATAATGATTTTCGAAACGATTCTAGTATAACACAATATTTTATCGATCATTATAATTATACAACTAGCCGATTCAACCATTCAGATTGACTTATGATTAGTTGTAGATGCCTTTCATCTTCGTATTCTATTAACCAGTTAATTGTGGCGCCCACATCGAACACTGCGCACAGTATTGTGTCGTCCGAATCGAATCCATAAGGAGTATATTCTTACACCACAGTTGACTCATTGAGTCAAGCATATTAAACAGTGAACTGTGTTTAACGAATATACTCATCGTGGAGAAGTGGTAAAGTATTGACGAGTATACTCGTCATGATCATAAAACTTTGACCATTGACTATTATCAATAACAGATAATCTCAAATTTCAGGATATTTCAAATATTTTGAGGCTATGTCGATGATATAAAATAAACAGTTGTAAGTCTCATTTTAGCCAAGAACAAAATTTTACCTCGACTCTGATGAAACAAAACTGTACGCACTGTTCAATGTGTGCGCCGCAGTAAACTGGTTAAAAATATCTGATGACTTTCAAGTTATTTGTCGTAAAAATTGGTAAAAATGCAATATACAATGAACCAAGAAATGTTGATAAAATGTTGTGTTATGCAAAGAACTTATTTATTGCACACGTAGTTAATTCCAATATAAACATAAGTACTTGCTGCCTGAAACTGTGCGGTTAATTATCGTGCTATTGTTATTTGTGTATTTCTATAAACAATAAATATGCTATAAAATGAAGCATCTATAAAATTAATCACATTGCCGACTATGCATCAGCATTAAAACAGATTTACAATTTAGAAACAAAATTTACATAAAATTCAATGTAGATTTTGCTGATGTAGACATTTTTTTTATATTGTGGTAAATTGCAAAGTCTGGTTATTCAATTAGGTAGCCTGTAAATTTGGAATAATTAGATTATTATTACATAACGATTAGCTTGTTTTGGGCGCAGTAAGTATATTTCGTATAAATCTTTACACAGACAGCAAAAACCACACGATTGTTAGAAGAAATTGCACATCGCACTAGAAACATGAAACACTTGATCAAAACTAACACTGATAGACGACCATTTAAGAAACATTACATTTAATAACAAATGCTTGTACAATCATTTGTACTACTTCGACTTAATATCAACACGGTTCTCTATACAAATACACCAATATATTATTTGTTGCACGCCAATTTGTGTGACCCTATTGTGGGGGATTATGGAATCATGACAACAAAAAACACTTTTGTTGATGAAGTAATACATTAAACTAAAAAACAGACAACTATTGTAATAACTAAGCCTTCAAAAGTAACTAAAATTGCTTCCATCATAATTATTAAATTCAGCATATTCGCCTCAAATAATTTTACAAAACAAGTTATATATATATATATATATATATATATATAAGTATATGCAAAGTTTAATGAAAAGTTTACTTTTGCGCCGTATGAACAAATCAAGGAAAATGCGTTGTTTGACTGACTTTCTCTTTCCTCATTTTTTTCCAAGTCCATCCTTACTACACCTTTGACCCCTATTTGTGCAAAATCCCGATTCTTCATTAAATTCTGTTATAAATGCTAATTGTTGTTATGGTTCAATTATTCCCCATCGCCTGCAAGCCTGTCAAATAATGGATGCTTTTCAATGACCTCAATTAGAATTATTTTGTATTTTTGCTCCATTAATAATAGTTTTCCTTCTTAAATGGTCTTCTATCTACTTTACCCTTTTCTATCAACGTTTTGTATTAAGTAAATACATGGTTGCTAAATACATTGTTATGTTGTTTCGTGCATTATAATTTTGTGCTTAAATTAGAAACTATTTCCAATTATAGTAAAGTTATACCGTATTATTTCTTATTTTGCTTTATTTCTAATAATTCACAAAAAGAAACTGAACTAACTAATTTCATTACTGCTACTACATTTAGTTATAGAATATATCAAAATTATTGCTTACCTATTATATATATATATATATATATATATATATATATATATATACCGAATGGTGTCAAATTGACGTCATGATAAAACGGGGAAAAAGAAATCATTTATAATCAAACAAAACAATTCCAGACTCTTATTAGTACGAAAAATAAAACTAAAAATCTTTTTTTTGAAATTTGGGAAAAGGCCTTAAGAACACCATAAACTCTCTGAAGAAGAAAATGTGACAAATTGTGTAATCGAGTCGATAGCAAAGCGATTTCAATTTTTTAGATTTGTTTACGTTGTACAACATATTTTTACAATATAATTTGGGTTCGCCAATATTCCGAAATTTAAGGGCGTGCGAAAGATATTACTTAAAAATCATGCTAATTAAACAAATGTTTTAAGGGGGTATTCTACTGTAGAATTTTGAAAAAATCGAAAAATTTTTTTTTTCATATTTTCAAAGTTTAGTTATTCAAAAATATGTCATTAAAAGGATTTTTCAAAATTACTATTATTTCCTGAGTTATATCCGTTTTAGTGACGTGGCCTCGGTTCGGGTCCGACCGAGTCTCAAAACTTTGAACGCGTTTTTCTCGGAACTACTTTTTTCGAGCTGGCGGTAAGGATATCTCGAGTTCTAATGAACCAATTTACTTCAAATTTGGAGAGGATCTTCTCTATACATCGCTTTATCGCATGGACCTTTCCCAAAACTATAACTTTTCATTTAGTATTTTTAAAAAATTCGGAATTGTTAAAAAAAAACATGAAAAAAATTGTTTTTTTCAAACTGCCGCCATTCAAACAAAAATTTTTTTTTAACTTATCCAAGGTTTATACGATAGCGGCATCTATAATAATTAAGAATCCATCTATTTTTTATGTTTCGGATCACCAGGAGGGTTGGAATCATGCACGCCAGGACACCCTCTTTTTTTTTGAGCCCCCACTTTGACTGCTCATAACTTTGTGAATTCTAATTTTTTTTTCTCTAATAATTTTTTTTATGTAATAATAAAATATCAATAAACACATGATAAAAAAATCGATAGTAAAAATATTATTTGTTTTCTTTATACAGCGCTTCAAAAACCGGGCAAAATTCATGCTTCTACAGTAGAATACCCCCTTAAGTATATAAAAAATTTGCAAAATTTTCTTTAAGTTTTAGTAGTTACTGGTAATATTATTATGGTTACTGGTAATATTAACCAACCAGTCAAAAGAAAATCGGAAAGTTATGTGCTGTTTTGAAACTAATAATTTAACCTGAATTTTAAAACAATTATAAAAGTTTATTTGAAAATATTAGTTGGGAATTGTATTGAATTTTTAGTAAAATAGCATAAGCCTTCTTTTTTTCAATAAATGAGCAGAATTGTAATTTAAAAACAAAATATATATATAGTGATAGATTTCCTTTTCCTCAATATGTGCTTATTATTAGAAAAACGCATATGAAAATATATTTGTGAGTGTATATATATATATACATATATATATATATATATATATATATATATATATATATATACAAATCAAGGACTTGTTTATATACATTTGTGTCGTACCACGCATTTTGATATTTAGATTCCAAATAATTATTATTTTGTTCACATGCAGTAAGTAGTATTTAATACAGAAAAATGAGTAGTTAAATATGAAATTTTTTTTGGAAATAACATTCAAAGAGAATGAGAAAAGTTAATAAAATCAGAGAGAATCACGATGCAATTATAAAGTATATATGAACGCAAATATATATTATAAAGTATATATGAACACAAATATTTACATATGCCACACAAAAGCACAATTTTGAATGAAAATAGCTTCATTGCGTTAATTGCACAAGAGTGCATTAATAAAACATGAAATTACAAAAAAACAAAACAAAATTATTAATTATTAGAGAACCGCTTATATTTTTCACTCGCATTCTTATTTTTACACAAATCTTTCGTAATCAATATAGCACAATGCGAATTAGAGGTATATTGTTGCTAATGAACGATCGATGTGCAGGCCTTCGCCTGGTTCAGCGATTTGCTGGTGGAGCACGCAGAAATATTTTGGTCGCTGTTTGCAGTCGATATGGATCGCGTCTTAGCCGAACAAAATCCTGACACATGGGACTCGTTTCCGTTGTTTCAAATATTAAACAATTATCTAGCGACAGATGGTAAGATCTTATCTAAGCAAAAAAAACAAAAGTTACAAGTCATTAATTTCACCAAAGACTACAATCAATTTTCAGTCCTTAATAATTTCCTACAACTTTTATTACTTAGAACATCAAGTCATCAACAATTACTTTACGAATTTTACTTTGATTTCAGATAATTTGAAAAATGGAAGATTCCATCAACATTTGAGGGACACATTTGCTCCTCTAGTTGTTCGTTATGTCGATTTAATGGAGTCCTCTATAGCTCAATCAATTCACAAAGGATTCGAAAAAGAACGATGGGAAATTAAAGGGTAAACAATAATTAAATTTTAAATACTATAAATTATTGCAAAACCATATATCATATACTCGAACAGAAATGGCTGTGTGACATCAGAAGATCTATTCTGGAAACTCGACGCCCTACAATCCTTCATAGCAGATCTCAATTGGCCCGATACGGAATTCAGGCAACATTTAGAGCAACGTCTAAAACTAATGGCATGCGACATGATGGAATCCTGTATACAGCGTACAGAAAATGCTTTTCAGCAATGGCTGAAGAAAAGCGTTACATTTATTTCAACCGATTACATCCTGCCGAGCGAAATGTGCGCCATGGTGAACGTCATTCTTGATGCCAAGAACCAGAGCTTCAAGTTGTGCGCAGTCGACGGCGTTGATGTCGTACGTAGAAATGTTCCAAATATATAACTCATTCATTCGTATGTAATTATTCAAATATTTTGACCATTTGTACGAAATATAAAATGAAAAACTTTAAATCACGTTGTGCAACTTTATAACATTTATCTATCTATATAGCTACTATATAATTATGAAAAAAAATATTTTAGCATCAATACCACACGAAAATTGATGATCAAATAGATAAAACCTTAGCCAATATGAACCAAGGTATGATCACGAAACTGATGTCCGTTTTAGAAGCATCATTATCAAAATTATCTCGTTATGATGAAGGCAGTTTAATAGGATCCATTCTAAGTTTCACGGTAAACTAGTGTAAACTTATTTTCAACACCAAATGTAAATACTAACACGTGTATGCCTTTAGAATGTTTCCGGATCTGGCAAGGATCTAGGGCAAGGATATGTTAATTTTACGAGAAATTGTATGGATCAGATCAGGTCAAAAGTCAATGACGAACTGTGGATTCTCAATTTCTTCGAGCAATGGTACACCAGTCAAATAAATATGCTGTGCAACTGGCTATCGGAGAGATTAGATCATTCGCTGCACTATTATCAATGTACATGTTTAGCTCATATAGTCAAGGTAAGCGGATACATCGAGTTACAAAAAAAAAAGTAATACGATTCTAATAATGTAATGTAATCTTATAGAAAGTATATTCTGATTTTGAGCTGCAAGGCGTGATGGAAGATAAATTAAATTCCAAAGCTTACCAAACAATTTCTCAACGCATGCAAACTGAGGAAGCGACGTGTTCACTGACTATGTCACAGAGACCGGACGACTCAGAGTAAGTTTGTTAATATTAACCCTTTCGACTCGGATGCCGCCACTCCGGCGGCATAGTCATTTTACCGTTGCGCTCGGATGTCGCCGCTCCGGCGGCATGGTATGTTTTACCGTTAAGCTCGGATGCCGCCGCTCCGGCGGCAAATCGTGTCGGCAACGACTCGTCGCAAACTAAACTTACATTTGATTTTTTTTTATTTTTTAAAAATTAATTTACTATTACATTCATTTATTGATTGATTTATTAATTTTATAAATAAATATATAACAAAATTAATTTATTAGCTCATGATCCCCATAATTCTAATAAAGATCTGTGAAGAAATGATTTTTTAAACAATATAGCATGGTTTTGAGTGCAATTTTTTTAATTTTCAAAATTTTCTATTTTATTATCATAATAACTATATTTAAAAGCAATATAACCACATTTTGAAAAAATCCGATACAAAAAAAATTCCGAGTTGAGAGATATGTATAGCACAATAATATTCCGAGCGCAGCGTACCGACTAGCAGTCCGACTCCCGAGTCGAAAGTGTTAAAAGTAAAATTGTACTCGTAAAATATATTTAAAACGGAGTTACACACATCCTTCTAAATATGAGTGGTGATGAATTCAACAAGAAAATCGTCTCTAAACAAAACGTAATGCCTGCAGGGGCGGAGGCGACATGGCCGACAGTGACGACAGAGCCAAGAAGGCGACCCATGGTGATGAAGATGGCGAAGGTCTCACCTCGAACATCAGCAACGTGACGAACATGGTCGTCGGACGAATGGGCAGCATGTTAGGCAAAGGCATCGGCGGCCTCAGCTCGAAACTTGGAGGCGGTTCGAGCTGGTTCTAATTACTACTTCAAACTTATTCCTCTCTCTCGATAATAATACTTGATTACTTTCTTATTCAATTCGATAATTCAAATTTAGTCATAATTATACTATATAGATTTACTGATTGTCGGCCACTGAGAACAAAGATGTTGTTTCACGAGTATGGATCACTGACGATATCATGATAGTAGTCATACTCTAATAGCAATATATTATACCGTATAAAATAGCTTATATATACATACATTATATATATATATATATATATATATATATATACTCATAATGGACATAGAATCACCATATTCATCTAAAATGTTATTTTACACGAAATCAGATCATTGTACGAAACCCACAAAGCTTGTGCCTGGGCTGGAAATTGATTTTTCAGCTGATGTAAATTTACTTAAAAGCGACGGGTATGAACAACGTTTTAGAGACGGAGTTTTAATTTGATTTTCATTATTATAATGTCAACAGTTATATTATCTGCCAAACAAATATTCATAATATAAAATTGATGCCTAAAATTCAATAGTTTTTCATAATTATAGTCAACTAGTTACTTATTCGAGTTTTTCTTCAGTAATGCTATTTACTAATACAAGAAAAAATATATTCTCAAAATTGATAGTGTTAATCACATGTTCTATCTATAAAATAATTCAAAGTTTGAAGATAATATTAATTAAAGAATAATAGCTATTGAAATCAAAACGTAATTCCACGAAAATCGTTGTGTAACCTAATTTTGTAGATTTTCGTTGCATTCATATATTAAAGACAATTATAATAATTGTTTAATGAACCATTTAAATATGCCTATAGACCTCATTTCAATATATGGACGTTTGTTTACAGAAAAACAAATGAATAAAAACTTCGACATAGAATTAAAGACCAAACCATATAGATCAAATTAAAACTCCAATCGAGTGCAACGACAATTTTTTTTCTTTGTTAATATTGTTTGAATGTATATAGACAAAAGGCGAATTCCTAATATCTAACTTGCTGTACTGTCATTTTCTCTTATGATAAATTTAAATATCATAACTACTTCAATGTAGAGAAAGTTACACTGCTTCGATGTACTTTTGTACTGCTTATTTTAATGACAAAAACTCCTTGTATAATGTTCATTAGTTATATCAAAAATTTCACAGGCTTTTTCATGTTATTTTAAATTTTATTTTGTAAAAGGGCAGTAGTATTTTCTTGGATCACATCATAGTGATATATAAATATAAATACGAAGCTATCATATTCAGTACAGTGAGATATGCATATCCGATAAATAAATTCTATTTAATATATTGACACGTGAAATTAATGTTATATGAAAAGAAAATCTATTTTAATCGAATTATATTTAATCTGTTGGAATATTGTTACTAGAAATAGTATTACTGTATCTGATAGACTATAAAGATAAAAACAATTTGAAAAGTATATATGATCCCAAATGTTGTTAAAAAGTCTATTTGTAGCTGTGTATTCTATTTTTATCAATATGACCTGAAAGGACATTAGTCTATTGTCAAAACATATCTTCCGTACAAAAACTTTATTTTGAAAATTATTTATAATAATGTGTATAGAAAGCCCGTGCATACATAACGATTATTTTAAATTAGTTTGGAAAAATAATCTATTGAAACTTATAAAAAAAAGTTTACGAAGAGTTTGCCCTCTTCTGTCATGCAATAGATCAATCAATTTCAATATATATGCTATTGTAAGCATATTGCTATGATTGTAGCCAGTTTTCGATATGTTTCAAAATCATAAATATTAATAATATATACTATTATGTGATCACAAAAACTTTATCTTAACCGAGCTTCAATAAACTTGATGTGTCGGCCTAAACTTTCGTAACATTTGTTACAAGATGAATTTTGAAATGTCTAGTAACTATTACCACATACTCTCCGCATTATAAATCTCTCTGATAAACTATACGTAATGATCACAAAATAATTACCTCACAATTGATTTTTCATATCTAGATTCCTAGATATTTAATTTACCAAACGCCGACAATGCCGCCGCATTACAATGATATGAGAAGTGTTTAATAGTACTGAGAAAATGGCATTCCTTTACTGACCTTTACTAAAAAAAAAATTCGCCTTATAATTTTTAATCGACAAACGTTTATGCAATTCAGTAAATTATATATGACTCAAATTACTGAATACTGAAATGTACAGATAATAAAATTATCAAAGCACGATTTGTAATATTGCACGAGTTGATATTTATTTCATATATACATATATAAAATAAATGCATTTTAAAGCATTTTCACTGTACATGGTGCACTACCACTTACATTATACAAATTACATATATACAATATTTTCTACGCATGTATTGCATATTTATTTGGGATCATAATGCATTTTTGCAAATGCATAAAAAAAATTATCTAAACTTTAGTATGTTATTTTACATATCATATATATCAATAACGTTATGAGCGTAATTCAGTCTTTTTTTTGCACTTAATTTGTTAAAAATTATTGAAATCAGCAGAATTTTTCAAACCTGTTTTAACCTCATCATCAGTGTAATTAGAAAATTTTGTATCACGTCATTTGTTGAAAACTCCTACATAAAACTGCCAAATCACAAACCATATTGGGCAAACAAGCTTGTCAGCGAATTTGGAAAAGAATTTATTGCAGTTCGAGAGCAAAAAAAAAGAACTGAATTGAATTTCTCGTCTGTTGAATCAAGTATATTTATATTAAAGATAAAGTAATTCATAAAAATGAAGTATTTGCATATAACATTCTTTGATTTCAACAAAAAAAATCTAATAGTATATCAAATATCTACATATTTCATACATTACGCAATCATCTACGGACATTCAATTATATTTATACCAATATAGATTTTGTAATATAATTTTCAATTTGTAACATTAAGTCACATTCCCACTTTACCAAATACAATTACGGCAAATACCAGCGATCGCATTTTGTTTAATATTTGCTTGTAGACATATACCCACAATTTATACATACTCATGTAATGCAATGTTTGCTTACTTAATTGTAGGAGGTAATTTTTAAACAAATGTTATAATTCAAAATTCTTTAATTACACTAACGATTTATCATGTACAGGTCTTGAAACATCAATTGATTTATACAAAAATGAGAGCCCGTTGTATATATATATATATATATATATATATATATATATATACATACAAATATACACAAATAAATGTATATAGTACTTAAATATTCAATATTTTGCTTCACTATGATTATGTAAAATTAAAAATACATTGTGAAATAGAATAATAAATTTAATTATATTTGACATGCAATGAATTCGTGTGAATGTGCAATAACACAGAACTTAATTATGAAAAATTATTAAATATTACAAATAAAATGTTATATATCAACTTGTTATGCATTAGATTGTTGTTTCATTCAATTTATAATTTTTATAATATCATAGCCACATCACAAATATTAAATATTTTCCATTTTTGTTGAATAACACCTGAAAATTTTAGTCTCACCTGAATTACTTGAGTGACGAAGACAAAAAATATATTTTTCTGTAATTTATTCACGTCCAACTAAAATTACATAAAAGCAAGATATTATTCAAGACTTGGCAGTCTAACATCACAATTTATTTCTTCTTCACTGCCAATTCTAAACCACGAATATATTTCTTCGGTATTTTATATTTGTCTGAAAAATGATTATCAAGTCACTAGATTTGATATTAGACTCATTGATATGTATAAATAGATAATTGACAATAAAATTTACCTGTTAATAATTTTCCTATGAAAGCAACTTGGTTCCCTTGTATGAGAACTTGATCACCTTTTTTGTCTGATGATTTATTTATACTAGTACTGGTTGCCACTCCGAGCTGGCAATCTTTAGAGAACTCTAACAAGTTAATTCCAAACAATTCTAGATTATCTACTAGAGTCACCTGCAAATAAGAGTAAAAGAAATGAAGCAACAATATGAAAAAAAAAATTTGAAATGTTGTGATAACTGACCTTCTTGTTACCAGCTCTCTTAGAAACTGTTAACACAACAATTGGTGCCTTTCCTTTACACTGAATAGTTTGAGAGCCAGATTTCATTTCAAAAATGGGTGTCATACGGCTTTCAATTTTCTCTAATAAACGTGGCCACTCTAAAGCTTCTGCAGAAGTACCACAAACATCTTGTAACATTTGATTCAATATTACTACTCTAAAATTTATAATCACTATTACAATATTTACAATAACTAAAAAAAATCAAATCAATTAACCTTGGATCAAATGTGTTTTGTAGAGAATTTTGTTTAACATAATCTGTCACAGCCTTGCGGATTTCTGCTCGAGTAATTGTTTGTCCAACTCTAAATAGATAATAATAATCTGTATAATAGTTACACACTATCAAGATTGATATCAATAATATATTATACCCAATGCCACATGAAGATATTAAAGGCAACACTGGCTTAGTCACTCTCAACAGATTTTCAACACTAGCATTTGAATTCTGTGAATCTGTAGATATTGTTGGCATATCATTTTCATCTAAAGTAAAAGTTCTAACATCATCATGATCAATTGCTAATTCAGTTACACTTTCTACTCCCTTTTTAAGTTCCCCTAGCTTTAGAAATCCTTCCTGCAAGATAAAATTTGAAAACAAAATCTATAATGTATAAAATTCAAATATTAAATTTACCAAATCATACTTCACTCATAGCAATTAAAAATTTTGAAACTTTCTTGTAACTCGATTTTTTGATGTCTAAAGAGGAACCTTTAGGACAGGCAGGCATAATATGCGTACCATAGAAAGTACTTGTCAACATGGGTAATGTTAATTTTTTGCCTTCGGTATTCAGACATTTGAGAAATGTATATCTTAATAATGCATCTACATCAGCCGATGACATATGTTTAGATTCACACTGTTCAGACGTACTTGCTTCTACAAGAGCAATATTTTCAATATTGTTTTCTGTTGGATTATCAGTAGAAAGATTAATATTGTCTAAAATTATCTGAAAGAAAAATTATATATATGTATACAACTTACGTAATATATAAAAGTTAAATAAAAATAAACACAAACATTTTGTACATCAGTATTTTCACACTTTAGACCTGGTGCCCCTAAATCTGGAGTAGGTATTGCAGGCGCTAACAAACTACATAATTCATCTCCTAATACATGAATAATTTCAATGCATCGACCTCTAAAAACGATAATAATATTAGTATTTTATTCTATGTAATTTATATAAATAATGTTGCATATAAAACTAACCTGCCAGCAGCCATATACATATCCATACTAGAATGACATGTTTTGCCCACTGCTATTGATGCTTTATTATTGGTTAAATTTATAGAAACTATTTGGTCCTTCTCAAATTTACCCCATGCTGCTGGACCTACAAAAAAAAACATTATTCATTTATTCCTCTGCTACATACAGAACAATATTACATAAGAACATGCTAAATATAATTTTGATGTATAATTAGTCAACCATGTACATTATTTCTTCATACATATTAAGAATCGAATCATTGCATTCATATTATCATTATCATTTTTTATTATACCTTCAATATTCTCAGGCAAGACAACTCCAGGAATCATCAAATCAGCACCCTGCATCAACTTAGAAAGCACCGGAACGTGAGTAGTGAACGAAAGTAAAATATCTGGATGTTTCCATAGTGTATAAATAGACGGGTAAAGAACCTTTTCTATTTCAAAAAATACAACACGTTTCTCTACAGCGTAAACAATAACATCAACAGAATTGTGAGTGAGAACTTTTAAAACATTAATTGGTTTGTTTGGCAATAAAATGTTTAAATCAACTTCGCTGATATCAGGAAAACACGAATGGACTTTGGCTTTGATATTTTTCCTGGAAATCAATGGAATTGTCAGACGTTTATGTAAAACATTTTTGAATAATTTCAAATCATACCTCTCAGAGGCTTTCACTTGATTGTTTGATTTCACTTTGACAGATTTATTAAACATTGTTATTGGTAATATCACTGAATTTTATTTCATGAAAAGGGCAAAATCAACTTAACCTCAATTGCAAAAAAAAACATTTACAAAATAATCAAAAAACCAACTGTCATCCTTTTATGGTAACATTAAACCCCTAGACAATATAAAACAATATAAGACAATATAAACCTATTAACCTATTATGGTCTAGGGTCTAGGGTTTAGGGTAACATACTCTCACAGATAAATAAAATAAGCACTCTCTAAATAGATTAAGATTTCTCTAGATTGGTGATACTGTATGCTTTGAACTGTGCGCTGTACCGCACTTCAAGATCTACTTTTATATTTTATGTAGTACCACTTTGACGGCATCATACCGAATATATTTAAATCAAATATGAACGAACTCATTCATAATACATATATAACACAAATATTTAATTAATTAACTATTTTCATTGCATGGAAAGTGAAATAAAAGAACATTTCGCTCACAAAGGACATTTGAAGAAGCATTGTTTTAAAATAAGAGCAACACCAGAAAAAAACACGAATAAGTAAACTAAATAATCAACTATTTCATTGCATGCAAAGTTTAAAAAACATGGCTAAAACATGGATATAAAAGACTCAAATTCTATTCAAGACTCAATATTCTATTTTATAAATTTGATGTTAAACCCGTGTTTTGTTCAAATCTTATGATTTTTGTGTTTTTTCTATATGAGTTGTGTTGTGCAGTGAAAAAAAGAAATATAATTTTGAAGTTTTTGTAATAGTCGAATGGATGCAGTTACTTTTTTTAATTTAATGGATCCAGTTTTTTAATTTATATTTAAAGTTTACAAAAGGAAGCTTTTAGATCATCAATATATATATATATATATATATATATATATATATATATGATTTTGTTTATTTCGACTTTGAAACATATTGTGATAAGGTTTTTCAGCCACAAGTCGAAAAAATAAAAACAGAACGTAAATATAAAATCTTCTTTAATACGTTTCGAGCTATTGTACTAGCTCATCATTCAGCAAACCAGTTTAAAATCATTTTATATTATATTATATTATTTTTATTGAATTGTCAAATTTTGTATAAAATAATTTTAAACTGGTTTGCTGAATCATGATGAGCTAGTACAATAGCTCGAAACGTATTAAAGAAGATTTTATATTTACGTTCTGTTTTTATTTTTTCGACCTGTGGCTGAAAAACCTTATCACAATATATATATATATATATATATATATATATATATATATAGAAGTTTCAAAATATATTTAAAAATTATATATATATATATATATATATATATATATATAGAAGTTTCAAAATATATTTAAAAATTGTACAATTTTGTTGTTAAATTTTTGGAACATGACATTTTGATAACGATATAGTTCTATAGTTTCAGTTTTATGTTTAATATCTGTACAATTAGTGTGATTAGGTGATTTTTGAAATCAAAGTTTGGTTTGGGGTCGCTCGTAGATTAGTGATTAGAGCTATGAAATTTGAATCAGAGGTCCCAGGTGCGATACCCACTTCAGAAAGCCTGATGTCAAGCAGTACTTACATCGGTTTTCACTTGGAAACCGACACAGCAATATGTTTCCAAGTAAAATAGCTCTTATCCGGCATTGCCGCATCAATAAAAAAAATCATCACTATTACAAAAATTGTTATAATAAAATTCGTCATAGAAATATAACAAAGTAATAACATAGTCCACTTAAGTTTTGATTACTGTTCAAATAAAAATAAAATAAACCTTTGGTTTATAGGTTTTATTTTATTGAACTTCTATCCATGAGAGGACAAGTCCCTTCATGATTGTAGTTATTTACTACAAGTGTGGACTGTGAATGACAAATTCAACATCATTCTAGTAAGGGCTCAAAGGTGAACAATGTATCTGCAATGACGATTTCGAAAAAGAACATTCATACATTCATACATTCGTACCGAAAATCTGGTGGCGAATGTCTGCAATTGCATCATTGATTTACTATAGAGTTGAATAAAGTCGATCAATAGAGTAAGTGTAGCAACGCAGGCGCCGGGAAAGTGCCGCCGTGCGACTACGCGCGACATGCGGCACACCACGCCGGTTAGCCACCTTTATCCAAAACGGAACCTATCGATCATTTCTTAATGGACTCATTACATTTAATTACCATTAAAAGGAAGTAGACGCCGTATTGATGCTAACTAATCATTTCTATATTATACTTTACTATCAAATATATTGCAATACCGCATCGTAGCTTTTAAATTGATGATATATCCGAACCGTTGTTGGTATATAATCAAAATTTTCGCATCGGTCATACTCTACCGTAACTGAAATACTGAAATGTATAAGTTACAAGTTGGAGCAACGGCCGACATCGGTGAAAGTGTGCACTAGTGCGATAATCGTATCGATCGATCAGCGTGGCGCGAGTGCTGTGCTGTACTGTGCTCTACTGTGCTGTCGGTTCGCACGCGCTCCACACGTAGCGTAGCCATAGCGTAGCACCCCCTGAGCATCTACGCGAACTCCAACACCAACCAGTAGGTCAGTCGTAGCACAGGCATTGTACTTCCATCATTTGTATCGGACGACGGGCGTTGTATTTCCAGTAAGTATTCAAATCAACATACTAACTTACGCATTTATTTCATACGCACCGAAATTTCCACAATACGCAACAAATTCACACAGGGTTATAGTGCAAATACAATTGTAAAACAAACGAAATATACTACTTGCTAAAATATTAAAGTTTCATTCATTGCTGTGCTATTGATTCCTGAATGTGACGAAAGTGCGGTATGTTATTTGTGCAATTATACTGTTTCTTTAGTGCAACTGATGTCGATAAGCTTCTTGTGAAATTTAAATAAGGTATGTTTTCATAGAAACTTGGCGCAACAGTTATGGAAGCTTTTTTTGTTTAACAGGTATTGATAATTTACTCTACAGTAACAATAACGTGATAAAATCTGGCTTTTTTTTCAAATCGATTGTAGTACATTTTTTATGCATATTTAGAAACTGCATGTAGAATATAAATAATTCGATTATTATAAGATTCTATATTTTTAAAAATACCAATACGAATTAATTATATTTAATTAATAGAATTATCAATAATTATTTTACAAAAGTACTAAACTATTCATGTAACATTCTTTTTTTTAACGTTATTGTAAAGTATAATTCCGTAATTATTTAACAATTATGATTATTATTAAATGTTCATAATTAAACTATTACAAAAAAATAAGTAATAACAATTTTTTATTTATATTTTCCAACGTTTTAAGGCGTTAAAATTCTATACTTTAGAGCGTTACGTAACCATTGATCAACATGCACATGGATAAATTATGAATAGAAAGAGAAAACAAAAATCGCCATATATTTAGTTGTTCTACAGGTAATTTAAATATATTCATTTAAATATTACTGTTTATTTTGTTTTTTTTTTTAATTTCTTTAATATTTGCAACCGGCAAGAAGGCAATTTATGAACTCAATTATAACGTTTTTAAGCAACAACAGTTTTCTTAAATATTATTTTTGTTGAATACGCTTTGCTTTAAACAAAACTTTACAATCCCATAGATGCCTACGCCCTGGATTATTACTAACAATTAAAACGATTTAATGGTCGCAATCATGCGTAGTCAGGCATTTTGAAATAAAATTTTCACTATAAATGAATTAAGAAAGTTATTGCAATTAACTTAATACTCATAATTTGGAGATGCCTAAAACTTTAAAAATAGTCGAGTAGAATCAACAAGAATTTTGTAACTTTTTTAATTGTAACATTTTGTGTGACTTAACTACATATTGCAATGTGAGCTTTCTTTGCTAAAGATAATGAACACATTTCCAAATGATATATCTTTATAATAAACTTGGTTATACCTAGCGTGGTATCTCACTAAAGAAATATTTCTAGTTTTGAATTAATTAAAACGGTTTCTAAATTTTGGGTACTCTAACATTCCTAATAAACGTTAAATATGAAATCAAGTTATATAAATAACTATAAACATAAAATAAATTTAATTTAATTTTAATGTCTTGCTCTTTAAATTTTGAATTATTAATTATTAGTCAGTCTGTTACGATTTTCTTGAAAAAATACAGAAATTTTAAAAATATAAGTTAATACTTATACATACAAGAATTATAGATATCACATCTTTAAATTCTTGAATTTCGATGAATTTTAATTTTGTTCTGATTAAAAAATTCTAAGATAGAGTTCCGTATATTTTTATATAATATTTTGCAAAATATGATATATGTACCACGCATCGTCACAACTTACATCAATTTAGAAAATTAGGTAAATAAATTTAAAACAATTGAAAATTAATATATTGGACCAATATGCACCAAGGCAATTGCATGAAATGTGAATAATTTATTATAAGTAGATGTAAATTCCATAACTTGTCGATGTTATATTACATAAATTTGAGAAATATATTTTGTCTAATCATTTTTCATAATCTTTTGATTATCTTTCATCTCTAACTCTCTCGCCTTTCAAATTATTACTTCTCCAGATTCCATCTCTGCTTTCAAATTATAATTACTCTATCAGAGTTGATAGCAGCCCCTGCAAAAGGCTAAATGTCCTTCCACGTTTACATCGTTTTCTTCGACTTCTCGAACTACATGTTTGTGATCATGAGATTGTTTCTGCGGCCAGTTAACTGGCCGATGTGATTTCATCCTGTTTCTGCCATCTAAACTGGCTCAATCTCGCTACGTCCACTTCACAGTTGTCTATTTCTCCTTTTGAGTTTTCTATCAATATGTTCTTCCCATTCTACTCGCTACTTTCGATGTCTACATGGCCTCCAAAGAAAGTATTTTAGCTACGGAATATTTTAGATAGAACATTATTACAAAATATTTTATTTCAAAGATATCATTTTATTCAATTTCTTGTAGAATATTCTCGTATCTACTTTGAATAAATGTATCAAATAATGTTGTAGTATTCACTGTTGCCTTTACACATCGCAGCAACTAAACCTCCATTCTTACTATATATACATATACACAATTATATATTACATTCATAAATAGAATAACCATGTTCACTATATTGCCTATATTATTAATAGCAATCAGTACTAATAGTTTTTCCATATGCATATAGTGTCGACTAAGCATTTTAAAGTCGTTAAGCTGCAAAAAGACTTTCTCGAAACCTCTTCCACAAAAAATTCCGATCCTGGAAAATCAATTTCCTAAAATAACAGTACCTTCAATAATATGATCTGTAAACACATTGCCTTGGCCGATCGATATCTGGTAAAGATTCCAATTCAGATTGCTCTCAATGTTCTGAAATATTATTCGAGTTGTGTGCGTGCTTACGAGAAAGCATTCAACAAAATTATTCCGGTAGAGGTCAAAGGACAAAAGTTAAAATATTCTAAGGCGAAGCCACTATGAAAATTACGAAATGTGATTTTAATGAAAAAAATAATGATTTTTTATAGTATGTACAAAACCAGTACACTCGCAACTCGCGTGCATTCAAAAGAATTGTGCTGTTTATATAAGCATTACTATATGTAGTTTGTAAAATCTATGCTGCTAGAAGAATTTTAAAGAAGTAAATATATAAAGTTTAAGTACATAGAAACACATCAAGAATGGAACGATGTAGAAAGGAAAAAAACATTATCAATAATATTTCAATCATCTTCTAATTTTCAGTTACTAGCTGCAATTATCCTGTAAATTCTTACTGTCTCCCGATTGAATTTGACTGCCTGCATCTTCGCGGAATAATTGCGTCAAGCCTGTTAAGGTCTACGATTCGACTTAATTAACGGATATTGGTAACCAAAGGTAACCGCTCTCGACTAGTGACAGAAAGTCTTCCTGCAATCGCCTATTCCGGCCTCAATATTTCCCGAAGCGGGTGCGGTCGCATCTGTCAACCAGCGGAGCCGCCCGGCCCAGCGCTGTCATTCTCAAGCTTCCGCAACTCATTCACCAATAATGTCAATTACTTGAAAAGGCGGTAAGAATTCTAAAAGTGTCTATAAAATCATATTTTAAAATATTTACAAATGATTATTTTGTTGATATCAACTATATTTATCATCTATTGTCAGTTATTTAACTCAAAAACAATTATATAAATTAGTTTATTACTGACAATTTGAGTTTTAGTATTTATTACTATATATACATATTTCTCAACTCATTTTTGTAGCTTCAGCTCTGGGGATTTATCCTCAGAGTGCGACGACGGCGATGCCGTCGTAGACCCTTACACAGGACAGCCGATTCCGCCCGGAGCCCAACCCGTACCCAAGATGGGTCAGCAGGCGCCTCCGCTGCAGAGCCAGGCCCGATGCCATCGCAACCGCCGAATCCCAACACGGCCCAAGGTCAGGTCGAGCACACAAAATCGTTCGAGCATCAATAATGATCGCATCTGTATTCATGGTTTAAAATGAGTAATTTCTGTTCGATCTTCGTTTGAACACTGTTCGATGATTACATAAGCAACAACAAATAAAATAATTTTATAACTATACAACATAATAACTATCTAATATAGCTTACAATTTATTCAAAATTTAATATCAAAATTTTCTTTACATTTTCAAGAATATTCTAGCATCTATTTACCATAATATTATAATAAACGCTATAATAATACGAATATTATTATAAATAATAGCCCAGCAAAGCGGCGGAGAATTGTCTCTGAACTTAAGAGGTCCCCCACGAGGCACCAGCGCGCCAAGTAGCCCGGCGAAGAGTCGTGAGAGTCTGCTGCAACGCGTACAAAGTTTAACAGGAGCGGCACGAGACCAAGGTGCATCCATCTTAGGTAATATTTAATACAACAATCGGTGAAATTGCATTTTTGAGCCAATTTCAATGACGTGCAATTAATTTCAATTATTACAGGCGCAGCTGTTCAGAGTGCAACTAGACCATCATTCAATAAAGATCGATCCTTTACTTTACTAGTTATCGATGATCAGAACACGGATTGGTCAAAGTATTTCCGTGGAAAAAACTACATAATGATTATGATATTCGAGTGGAGCAAGCAGAATTCAAGGTGAAAATAAATATAAATATATTTAGTAACTATATATAAATCCATTTATATATAACTATATAATAAAATAAAAAATAAAGAAAATCCGTTTGTCACAGAGTTTGGCTAGAAATTCGAGTTGTTAATTTTATGTTTTCTTCGTGTAGCAAAAAACAAGAGTAAAAATGTGTGTGAGTGTATGTTTGGGCGTGAAAACATATTTTTCATTCAACAGTTTAAATTTACTCAATAATGGCTTGTAATTTTTGCGACGTCACAACAAGCGATATGGAACAAAAGTGAATATATCAGAAAGTTCAAGAAGCTAGCCTTAAATCAAAATTTATAGTTGAGTTTACATCTCTTAATACAAATATGATTATAAAATGTTTCCTTACTATTTATTCCAGGAACTCTCGTTGATCGCGAGCGGCGAGCAAGGATGCACTGTCTCGATGGCGGTGTATCGGAGCGGTACCAAGGTGATGCGTTCATTTAGGCCGGATTTCGTTCTAATTCGTCAAAATCTTCGCGACGCCTCCGAGGACAATCGCAGCCTTCTTCTCGGTCTGAAATACGGCGGCGTTCCGAGCGTCAACTCGCTATCTTCCATCTACAACTTCCAGGTTAGTTGGGACCAAGAGAAAATGACATCCATCATTTTAACAAATTAATAATATTAGTAGACGTCACTGTTTTGAAGAAACGCTCACAAAATTATAGTTTCACATTGTCGTTAATCAGCTTTGTAAATAATTCTTCAATGATTCTGGAACTGAAGGGATAACATAAGGCAATGATTATTTACTTGTTCATAATTGCAAAACTATGACATTTAAACTTTAATAAAATTTCCAATTTCTTTCATCTGAAATAAAACTTAATAATAATTTATTTAAATGATAAATTAATCTTCTACGATAAATATATTCCATTAAATATCATAAATTATAAAAGTAATATTTGAAATGCAGTTGTATGAATTTTTCCTTAAAGTCAAACTATTTGAATGAAATATATCAGTTCCAAATTTAATTTTCAGGACCGGCCGTGGGTTTTTCGCGCACCTGATGCAACTCCAAAGACGCCTCGGACGTGAAAATTTTCCCCTGATCGAGCAAACTTATTACCCAAATCATCGCGAAATGGTGAGTCGATATTATACTGCACATATATATATATATATATTTATATATATATATATATATATGTGTATATATATAAAATATTGGTCACAATCCATACAGCATGCAACAACGTCATTTGCCCGAAAATGCAATCAATACGTATTTGTCTGCAAATATATGCTATATTTTTTTTAATTGCATTAATATTAACGACATTAATTTTTTTTTTTTTTTTATTATTATTTTTTGAACCTATAAGCTGTTTTGCTGATTTGACTTAATACTAGACTGTTTGACAGATGGCAACCCAAACAGTTGTCACATCTCTGTATGATAAATTATTATTACAATTTCTGTAATAGGGCGACTATGGTACAGCAATGCCGGGTGAGGGCTATTTTCACTTGGAAACATATTGCTATCTATATTTTCAAGTGAAAATCGTTGTCAATGTTGCCTGACAACAGGCTGCTCAAAGTGGCTATCGAACCCGGGACCTCTGAAACAAGTCCCGTAGCTCTTAACCGCTTACTTACGGGCGAGCCATTAATATTAATAATGCTACAAAATGATATTCTACCAGAATTTATCATAAATATATTTTATTATATGGATCAAATATATAATAACATTTAAGCATTTTCTAACTTAAGCTATACCACATCTTGTAATTTCAATATAATTTATATTGTACTTTTAGAATAGTTCAATAATTAGAATTAACCTTAAATTATAATATAAAATAATTAACAAAAGCAATAAGTGTAACACAATATACTATTAATAGATGAAGTCTAATCACGTGCCGATCAATCGCTAAAAGAATATTTTTTCGCTAGTTCAAGTCACAATTCAAGTTTTAAAATTGAGACTTCAAAATAACGAAATGATCACTGATGTAATTATATAAAAGTTATATTTAAATAAAAATCCAGTATATCAATAAACTCTTAGAAGTCATAAATAGCATCAAGTAAAATAGGAAATGATTTTATAGAAAATTTATTTTTCTATTCGTTTCAACATATTATACCATCATTAGTAGCTATAAACAATTTTCTAACAACAATATTATTATTTTCTTTGAATTAATATTATTATAAATCAATATTATTTTTTATATATTAGGATATTCTCACAATATATAATGATATAATTTTATAGTCTGAAAAACCTTTCAATGAAAGTCAACTACATTTTATGAAATTTAGATTAAATTACGTTTCAACGCTGAATCGTACATACGCTAATATAAAATAAGCAACTTATGCTAATTTCCAAGAAATTAAACTCCTGCGATAGCACTTTGGTTCTTGGTAAGGTCATTTATCCCATAACAAAATTACATATACATATAAATATATAATATATAAATTTATAAATATATAAATATATAAATATATAACCATATAAATATTCTAAAAAAATTAAACATACACGAAAAATAGGGCGTACTTCCGCGATTAATAAAACGAAAATTATGATAGGAAAGAGACTATTTTATAATAACCATATAAGGTTCTAAAATAAATAAAGATGTTCATAATTTGCATACGTTGCTTATTAAGCCTATAAATTAAAAAAAATATTATCTATGGGTGATTAAAGAGATATTCAAAAGACTAATTACAACATTTCTAAAATAATTAATTCATCATGTAGTTTTTTGTATTAAACGAAATTGTTGGCCTCATACATTTTAACTTTATACTAGATTTAAAATAATAATAATAACAATGAAATCACGTTTTGTGCCATTTTTAGGTCTGTAAAATAAATTTTAAACGAATGCTCATAGAATGAACTCTCGTATTTCAAATTTGCACTTATCAATTATAACATATGTGAAACGATTGTTCAGTTTCGAAAACTACGCACACACATACATACACACACATATATATATTATAATTATATATGATATATATTATATATGTATATATTTACACACGCACCAACATATATAAATATAAATAAATTATAATCTTATTGTAATAAATTTAATATATTACTTAATTTATTTTAATAAAATTAAAGTAATTACCCTCATTTTTTGGGAATGGTTGCAACCAAAAATAACTTAATTTAAAGCTATGAACTGGTTTTACATTTGGATCAATCCGAGTCCGTAATTGTCCGTAAAATAAACTCAACGTGTAACGAGTAGTTAAAAATTTTAAATAAAAGGGTTTACTTTTTTTACATAATTTTACAGAATTTTACATAAAATGTGATTTAAGAATAAAATGTTGACGCAAACAATTTATTTTAATCCACCGACATACGCCAATAATTTTGTTGCGATAAAGGCTCTTTAACTAAAGACCTTCCAACTGAGCCCCGGTTCGATTTTCAATAATATATTTTGCTTGCCCACGATGAAGAAGTATTTATAATTACCAGTTGATCATTTATCGTTCGATAGACGTAGTTCACGGATCTGGATAGCTCTGAAGAGCCTTGCACTTTTTATAGAAGGAATTTCGTCGCCAGTGGCAGGTGACCCGTCCCGAGATTTGGTCCTCGCGCCGAATGCAGATGCCATAGTCGCCCTCGCAGTTGCCGCTCAGGAAGTTCCACTTGCACGAATCGAAGGCGAGGCGGTTGCTCTCGTTCGTTGCGCGCATCAGGGTCTTGATCTGACGAATTAACAAATTAAACATTTCATTTTAGTCCCAACTAGCTGTGAGTGGAATTCTGTCTTAAGGCAATTAAGGCATCGTGCCCTAAGGCAAATTGCTGGAACTTCCCGTACCAAAAATTATTTTTTTAAAAACGATTAGCATTTTTGAAAAAAAATTACTTAAAAAAAATAAGATTTTTGACAAACAATTAGACAAAAATTACTTTTTTTTGAAAAAAAAAATTTTTTTAATTTTTTTTTTTAATTTTTTTTTTGAAAAAAAAATTTTTTCTTTATTTTGACATATTTTGAAAGATCTAAACTTTTTTTCAAAGCAATCGTACTGCTTTAACTGCATAAAGACGAAATATCAAACCGCGTAAGCTCCGCGTCGACGTCTAACGCGTAAACATTGGTACGGAACCCATAGGAATGTAAACCAAAATTATACTTATTGTTAAAATCTCTATAAAATATCTGATAATTTGATGTGCATATGTCTAATGATCATTTTTGACCGCCAAATGGCATTTTTTTTTACTTTTTTCATTAGATCTCCGAAACCGCTAGACCCGCCTTTATGAAAATTTGATCGGTATTTCACCTTGTCAATACAAGTAAAACGTTTTTTGAATTATTAAAATCGGACGCTCCGTTCTCTTAAAAACTGAGTTACCGTTTTCGGCACTTTTTGCCCCGTATCTTCGGAACGGCTAGACCTGACTTCGCCAAAAACTAATCAGCACGTCTCCTTATCAATACGAATCGAATGTTTTTTGAATTAATCAAATCGGTTGATCGGTGTTCCCGAAATCGTCGACGAAAATTTGTATCCGCACATACATACACACACGCACACACACACACACACACCACACACACACACACACACATACATCCATTTTTTCTAAGGTATGCCAAAATATTCAGAAACCTTTGAAACGTCGAGAAATGCAAAAATTTTCATTTTCGATTTTTTTGCGATTACTATAACTTACCCTACGGGAAGTTAAGCCCGAATCACACGAGGCTTGTTTTCTGACGCTGGATTTCCCGCTTGATTTTTCGCCGATGACGGTGCTGTAAATCATGATATTTTTCAAGCCGTACGCATCACACGAGGCTTGTTTTTGAGCGTTGGTGAGTGAATGAATCGGTAGCGTGCGACATAACCTCGAAATTCAACGCAAATCATTAACAACAATACTTTTATTTTACCTTTTCTGTTTAATACGGGGCATAGAAAATAATATTAGTTTTAATAAAAACAATTCAATAACAGTAATATAGCGAAGAGATAATTTATATAATAATTAAATAAAAATTGGAAAGCTATATATAATTTATTTAAATTTTCATAAATCTGAATTAAAATATTTATTGAAATATTATTATTAAAAATAAAAATCATTTTTATTATAATGAATACAAATAATAAATAATATTGTAAAAATTTAATTTTGTTTTAGTAAAATTTTAAATATATATTTTAATTTTAAATATTTTTTTTGTGAATTTATAAATATAATATTCAATAATATTTCTCAATAAATGGAATAATTAAAATAAATTAAAATCAAAATGTTTCTATATATAAATAAACAAATAAAATGTTTATACTTAAATGTAATAGAAAATGTTTTGATTATCATTTACGTTTATATTATTTTAAATTATATAAAAAATAAAATTTGAAAAAAACTATGTTTTTGCCCGAGACCGATCAATCGGTATTGATTTCATAACTATTTCCAAAATATGTCGCACTTTTCTTCAAGTTTGACAGCAGTGCCGTCATGTGATGATCCATGTGACAAACTACTGCTTCCCGATTGGTCCGGACGGGCAAATCCATCTCGAAAAATAGCACACGTTCTAATGTTGAAATCCAGCATGCTGGCAAGAAACAGAGATCGCTATGACGTCATTTTGGACCCTCTACAGCCAGGTACCTGGCAAGCAGAGCCATAAAGCAGCAAAACAAGCCTCGTGTGATTCGGCCTTTAATGAATGAAGGCTGGGACTATAGCCGGAACGTTTGAATTTTAGAATACATTTTCAAAGAAATTCACGGCGTTTATTGATGATATGCCCGATTATTAAACTCTGTCAATACATATGTCAACACCAAATTCAGAATTATACTAAAAAAAGTGGTTATGATACACATAGATTTTTTATAACTTGCTATTAAAATATGTGAATTTAATTCTTTAAGGCAATACGTCAAAAAAAATAGAGATGTTTAAAAGAATTTTAATTATTTTCATAGGTTACAGACGAATGATTCGTCTCGGATGGGCAGTGATTCAACCATGTCATACTCATAACTTGCTTTTCAATATTCAATCTATATTATTTACTTAACAACAACCAGTTGGTTGTACAATTGTGAATAGGTGATTGAAGATAGTTAGAGTTACTCCAGTTTACTGAAGATGACATAGGATCATAAGTCGAAACATATGGAAGTAATAAAAATATTTCGTAATCTTCATATGTGATGTAACCTATTTAAATGCATAGGGAGTTCTTATTATTATCGTTCTGATAAACGTTATCTTAGGAATTAAAACTCATTAACATCTAAATGTTAATTACAAATAGCGCTTTCAATTTCGATTTCCATTTCGTTCCACTACATATATTTCTCACTCTCGACAGTCAGTGATGATCTGTATCAAAGAAAAATGAAGTTGAGATGAAGTTGTCTATATCACAAATTATTGAATGTTTCAATATATTTCACGATAAAGACAAAAAACGAATTGTAACTCCAAAAATTATCAAGCAAATTAATTGTACTTCAACGAAACATAATACACGGACATCTCAACTGCTATATTTCATGAAAGCTTCATCTTCTCTGAGAAAAGAAGACCCAAAAAAGGCAAGCAATAAATTGATGAATAATAAAAACATATAAACAAAACTGCTTATTCAGTATGACGATATATGTAAGTTGAACAAAATGGTAAATAGTATATATATATGCAACTTTATTTACGCGAGTTATGCTGAGCTTTAATTTGAAGGAATGATATCTTATTTACATTTTCACGGTAGATAGAATAAGAACTCAATGAGGCATTTCTCAATTTTCAATTGTTCTCGGTCGATGTTAATAAATGGATGGGATTGTGCAAAAAGAAGAACAATGCTGAGCAGGGAACGACAAAAATCGTTGATCTTACCGGACATTGGCAGCCCTTCGCGTACATCCCTAGAATGCCTCGCTTCATGACGGTCGTGAGACTTCTATAAGGCCTATAGAAGTCGCACAACGACAGAAGTGATCGGTTCCTTCCCATAATCACGTAAGTTTCGCCAACCTGCAGCTGGACACCGCACATACTGTCCGAGCTGGAGCTCACCAATCGGCCGGACTTCAAATAGTGCGGAGCTTTCTCCGACATCTGAATTATAAACACGGTTAATAACACTCGATATTTTCAATGACAAAAACAAGTAATGACAATATGAAATGGATAAGGAATAATAAATATTAATGCCAAAGTGTTGATTACAATCAAGAAGAAAATTTTAATTCATGATTCGTTTCCTGAGAAGTCTGATCTATATGCGAATGAACGATATCAAATAAAACACACTAAGAGAAGAAAAACTGTAAATAGTTATCATTGTGCTCCTGGGAAAATCTACATTGCCTTGCTCAACAATTTGAGCAATTTTCACATCATTTTACGCAAGATGATACGTTTCCAAGAACTTTGTAAACGTTCACTGATTCATTAATCTGCCCTTAGTGCAATATTCGTTCTTTCGAATAGATTAAAACCATTTCCAAACATCTCCTCTAATTGTAAGAACATTCTTATAGCAACGCAACAAGTTCATTAAACCTAACTTCCAGTTCCTAGTAAGCCTTGCATTTTTAGAAATGCTGGTTTGTGGATTTTCTGCAAAATCTTATATAATCAAGCTTGAATTGTTACACAATCCTCTTGGATCATATTTATCTTTCTTGGGTGTCGATGCGCCGATGAGATAGATTTTTGCTTTTCGGTTCTCTACTCATACTATTACGAATTAATTTATATTTACGATACATAAAACTAGATTTACGTACACACCTTGTATTCTTGCAGTATTTGGAGCTTGTAAACTACTTGATCATTGCTATGGGTGAAATGCCTTTTCATAACCCGCGCCACGATCACTGAAAAATAAAATATTTTAATCAATAAAAAAATTATTTACCATTGCTAATATAATTTAGATTAACAAGAACAAAAATATTACATAGGTATATATGAAACATGATAGTTACAACTTATTTAAATATTTTCTTCCGTTTACTTTAAATTTCAAATGAGATTATACCGTGTTCGTCCTCAACAGACGTTCCAAGTGTTATAGATTTCTCATTTATTTACAATTACATTACTTGAAAAATATCAAATTTTATTGTATTTTTTACATATTATTAGCATTAAACTTGTAAACACATTGTGTGGCATTTATGAGTCACGCTCATGAACAGCCGTATTACCGGTTTGCGTGTTATACAAAAAAAATTTTTTTTGCTGTTATAATCTTATTATAAAAGTGTTTTACTCCACTTTGTATGTTTATTATTTGCCGCAGAAAACCTATTCATTAACATTTTTAATAATTTATTTTGAATGAATTATTGTAACTACCTAATGATATCGAACGTCATAAGAAACATTTAATTTCTTTTTTTTAAATTTTGTGTTCCGCACCAATATATAAACATTGAACTAAAAGTTAAATTATTTACATTTAAAACCAACATGGTAATACCGTACCATGTTTAAGTGGAATTTAAACACTAAATCATTATTAGTTATATTTCCCTAATGTTCATTCTTTAAACGGAAATTTACAGCAAACTACCTTACACAATTTCCATTTCCGATATTTCTCAATAGAAGTGGATAATTTTTTGCTTACTTGCATATTTTTTGTGTTTGAGATGATTTCGAATTCAAATTTATTCATTAGTTTTATATCTCTATACAGTTCTATATCTCGTGGATAACTTCTTCAAATTTTGAATTGTTTGAATAAAAACAGATTATTTTATTACCGTAGTCGGCTTTGCAGAATTGTTCCTGAGGATGCATCGGCATACAGGAGCACGCATCCGAACTGTAGGGCCCGAGCGCCAAAACCAGAATCAGGGCTGACAGACATCGGCTCCATCGGCCCATCCTGAAACGAAATAAAGTTAAACATTTAATTTTCAAACAAAAATTTAATTTGCGCGAAATTTTCAAAAATCGTTCAACGCTATTTTCGTTCTTCGAATATACGAAGAAACATTTCATGCCGTTTATAAAATTCTGAAACATTGAAAAATATCATTGGAAGACTACCCGTGGACGGCTTTGAATAATTTGCAAGAGGTATGTGATAACTGATAATAACTTATATTCTGTAAATTATACAATATTTGCAAGTCCTATGCTCTCCAAGATTTTAAAATCATAGCTACGCTTCTAGATGCAATTATACTATAAATTTAAAATATATAAATATGCATCATAAAATCCTTATTAGATTATAAGGGTACATATCCCCCAATTGATATTTGGTGATTTTTTGTCGAATTTCCTCTCCCCCTAAAAACCTCACGAATTAATGGACACTCCCTAATTAGTGTGAAGAGTAATTATATATGTAGATCGGAAATTTATTTAGACATTATGATCTAGTTATTAGCCAAGAAGTATTTTGTTAATTATTGTGTCTTTATTTCATTCAATTCAGAATATTATTATTTTTTCTTTTTTGCTTAAAGCAATAGTCGTAAAACATCTGGCTCAGATGTTCTTTGAACTCGCGATCTGTAACATTGCTTCGAGTGTTCGAGTTCAAGTAACAATGATCGCAATTGATTCATTTCCTCATTTTCAGAGCCCCACCGGGCCCGTGAGCCGTACGATGTGCGTTATGCGTTTTGCGTTGTGCCTTCTGCAGGAATCGCGTCGCGGACGATTCTCGACGCACATTCGCACATTTGCAAGATATTTAGACTTCTTAATTTATACTGGAATTACTTACGTTAAAATATTATAAAAAATATTAATGATATTAGAGATGAAAAGGATTCATGTTATTATTATTATTTCTATATTTATACTAGCAAACCCGACGAACTCCGTTTCGCCACCAGATGGTTTCGTGAGAAAGATGAAGAAATTTTTTGTTTGTTTTATATTTGAAAAGGAAAAATTTGATCAGGAAAGAAAACCCGACTTATTTTTATATATATAGAAGATAATCTATTTGCAATTATTTTAAACAATTGCAATTATTGATTATTTTTAATACTCGAATTTTTAATTACGGTGCGTGAAGTTCCAGCAATTTGCATTAGGGCACGATGCCACGCACCACTAATTTTCTTAGCTATAAACCTTGCGGAGCCCGAGACCTTTCCAACGAATGCAAAATTGTCGAAATCGGTTCGTGCGTTCTGAAGTTATTTCGTCAGGAAGGAAAACCCGACTTATTTTTATATGTATAGAAGATAATTGTATATATGTGTACGATGTATATGTATGTTGAGTGCAAATGATCAGGCGTTACATAAATAGAAAATTATTGTATCATTATATCAATAAAAATTACATGAATACATTTTTATTGATGTAATGCCCAATCATCAGAACGTCCTTTAATACTCACATATTATATTGCTGGAGATAAGATAGACCATAAAATAGAGAAAAGAAACATTATAAATAAGAGACATATGATGCGTAAACGTAGTATTAATTATTGATTGATTATTCTTAACGGTAACATTTGTACAGTTTATAAATATAAATCACAATTCGAATATTAGACTTTAAAGGAAGAAACTAATTTAGGGGCCAAGTCTCGGATAAAATAGAAATGGTGATTATGGTGATTCTATGTTACGGGTCTATGTTCGTATGAGTTGGTATTTGCTGTGCGATCAGACGTTTTACACGTATAACTTAACCTACAAAACGCACAAACGTCAAATAACAATTTTATCATAAGTACAACTTTTGATGTCTCAATGACAATACATACGTGGAGTTGGGCTTTATGTGAAAAACGCCTGATCGCACCGCAAATACATAGATTTTTGACAGTTGGATGCTACTAACTCATACGTAGTCCCTCAATATTGCATCACCATAACATTTGTATTTTATCCGAGAATTGGCCTCATAATATTTCAAGTTTGTGAATAGCATTTCATTGACTGAAAACTAAAATATTAACAATAACCTTACGTTTGATTGAGTTGTCTGAAGCCGTCGGCAAAAGGCACAATGCTAAAGCACAATTTATATTTATATACATATTGTATAACGTCGACTTCAATATCAGACCGCGGACAAGATTAATAATGCCGCGAAGCGCACATACACACCTGGAACGATTACGGACATTGTATTACATCGCACTTACAATTAGTCCAATGACAATATGCTATGTGATATAAAATTTTGAAATTTCCGAATATTATTAGTCGGTGCAAAAATTCAACTACAATAAAATTCCGTTAACACGATCCCTTAAAAATTGAGAATTTGAAAACGTGTGAAAAACACAAAACACTTATAATAATGAGACTGTTTGTTTTAAGCACGATAATAGAATGTTCAGTATTCAAAATAGGACGATATGTCTCGAGTTTCTTCTGACTGTAAAAAATCCTTTAAATATCCATTGCATAAAATTTTTAAATATCATGTAAAAAAAAGGAAAATAATTGTGCTGATAAAAAACTTAAAAATAAACTGTTAAAATAATTGATAGGAAAATATGAAAATAGAAAAATATTTAATTGCTTTACCATCATGATAATTTAAAAAAAATATTAACTTACCACGGCTTGAATTTAAAAAATAAATTCGTGGTTCGTATTTTTGCAACAATTTTATGATAATTTCTGTCCACGTATCAGCGATCTGATAGCAGTAAAACTTTTTCTCATTTATCAAACTTTCCTATATCTCTATTCTCTAAAATAGTACCTAAGCAGTAATTGGAGCTCAGAAACACTGAGTTTGATTTATTATTTGTGATTTTATTTTTATCTATCGACCATTAAGAAATATGTTTCAAAGTGCAGGAACTGTGGCAGGGGAAGTTACTAGTCAAGTTAAGTTCGAAAAATCGTATAAAGCATGATTGTCTTAACAAGGTTCTACTTTATATTGTGCAATGAATTCGAAACAAACGCTTTTACTGAAAATCAGTTGAGTGCGTGCGCGCGATACTAGAAGTGATGTCATCTCGGCCGACGTTAAACTGCAGCATCTAATATAATTGAAAGTCACTCTGTAGGTCATGCTATAGAAAATATGTATTCGTCGTACGCACACCGGCACCGGCACCGACATCAGCACCAACACCAGCACCGACACCAGCACCGCACCGACACCAGCACCGACACCGGCACCAATGTACGAGTAGGAGTTGGGTGTATGACAACAAGTGATTCCGATTCAGATAACCCGGCGACATTATTAGAATTCGAAGAATTCTGACTCGTTTGCTGTAAATAATCAATTCACTTGCCAAAACTAATCGTAGTAACTAGATTGTACAAAACACATCAAAGTCATTTGTCGAGATCATTTCATAAATTCTATTTATACTAACCGAATGCTACTTGCCTTAAGGCCAAAATGACACAACTAGTTTGATATTAATTTACTAGACAGTAAGAAAACTAGGTGTGTTAACTAAATTTTCGAGGTCTAATTGTTGCTTTTGTGGTTTCATATTTTCTCGCAATTACTTCACTTTTCATAAAGCAGACTAACAAAGTAACAGAGATACGGACTCCAAGAGAGGCCGACAAAAATTATATGGAGATTTTTGAAATGTAGTGCTAGTGGACAGACAAAATAACCAATGAAGAAGTGCTGGGAAGAGCAGGCGAAGAAAGAACTCTACTGAATACGATCCTGAAAAGAAAATAAATCTGGATCGGGCCCATTATGAAAAAAGAGTGCCTGTTGCACGATGCCATCGAATGTAAAATAGGACTGAAATGATTGGGCAGATGAGGAATGCAGACGATTAATGACTTACGCGAGAATTAAAAAATAAAGGGAAATAAAAGTCGAAGCACAGGACCAGGAAGCATGGAAGCAGAAGTTTGAAAATGCATAAAAATGAATAAGAAGTGATTAATGTTAATGATTAAAATGATAACGTTAATGGACTTTTATTGTGTTATTGCAAGATTAACATTTTAATTGTTTCGAGGCATAAATTGCGTCAGCTAACATATTAAGCTGTCAGTCTGATAACCGAACTTATACTTTATTAATTTGGGTTATAAATTACAGCTAGATAGAAATTTCTCGGCCGACTATATAATTTTTGTATGTATTTTGGATGTAACACATTTAATACAAAACTTAATTACGCCGAAATTATAAAATGTTTTCATACTCCATATTATCTATTTATATCAGCGATAACCAATTAAATATAATCTAAATGGCAAAGTACACAATGCGATAATGCAAAATTCAAGATAATCTAAGTAAGATAGGTAAGATTTTTTTTTATTTATTGGCTTTTGATAAACATTTAGCTATACACATAATGTATAATGTACTTATCACGTATATATTTCTTGATAGACCTAATAAGTTTGCCTTATGTAAAATTGATACCAAATTAAACAGTTTGATAAGCACATTAATAAAGTAAAATTTCTCTAACTTTTTTTTCTTGAGATAGTTAACATTAAACCTACCAACGCCGGTCAAACTGACTGTTTCAAACTTTGTGTACAACTTATTATTAGACATTTTTAAACGTTAAAATAGCGTTATCAAACTATATGATAATTCTTACAATATGCTAATAATATTTTCTTCATTCTAAATAATGTTATTTTACGGAGTTGTTTCCGTCGAAATGTAGGTGTAGGATTTATACATAATATACCGAATAAACCGGAAAAAATTTGGATGATGTGTAAAGTCAATAGTAAATATATAATAAATGGGTTTCCCTATTTGGGAAATGACAAGATGAGGGATTGTTAAATTCTTCAAATAGATAGTTTGTTGTTCTAAAACTGATAAATTCATTCACAGATTAAGAAGAGATTTTTATGAATCTGATTTCATTTCTCTGACGGTTATCCAATAGAAATAGAAAAAAGCAGCAAAAGTGTTCCGAAAATCATTAGTTTTTGTATT